TCTGACAGGTAATTTTTTAATGACTGGTGTATCAACTGTCTATTTGACATAATCAACTGAGATAATCATTGAAAAAAAGGAGATGTGGAGAGGATATGCAACCCATCACCAAAATGAAACCTGAGCCAAGAAATTCAGTATTCTGCATTTCTTACATTGATATAAGTGATTTATTTCAGACTCTTTATAAATATGCATAATGAATATCAATTATATTTCTTAAATAATGCAGATTGAAATATTTCTTGACCTCAGTATGGAGGCCTTTAAGTTATGAGCTTCAAAAAATATATCAGATTTAAATAGTCCCAAAATTGTTTTGACAGTCTGTTTTGAGGACTCGTTGGGACAATATGTGTCTTACAGCCCCAGCAAGTCCCAAGATTGGCTGTCAGAAATCAGAGCAGTCTTGGGCTGTAGAGAGCCAAAACAAGTCCCAACAAACTGGCTATTAGACTTCACAACAATCTTAGCTCACGGTCCTAGCAATACCTCAAAACAGGCCATCAGACATTAGAGCAATCTGGGATTAAGAATAAGGGCCTGTTAAAGTACAGAGAACTTAGTTGTTTGTCTATCACTTGACACTTGAATTTCTTAGAAATGTAATATCAAACTTTATCGGTACTTCAGTTAAAAAACCTATGTACAAATAAGATGATGTATGATTTGTTGGATATTTAAAACATAACACCATTAGACAGGAGATTTATATGTCATGTCTTTGTAGTGAGCTTAAATAACATGCATAATGTTTGTTTTTAAATATCATATCTTTGTAGTGAGCTCAGAATAAGATAACATGCATTATCACAGTTTGGTGTTAAAAAAAAAATGACAGAGACTTATTGATGATTGTTTTGCCTGAATATTTAGCTAAGAAATCCTTAAGTATAGCCTTAGGTATCCATGAGGTCCTGTAAGTGCAAAGAATTTGCTTTATATTGTCTATGGAATATTGAACAGGATTTTTACCCTTACTGCTTACCCTTCAGGAGCACCTGAGATCACCACCAGTTTTTGGTGGAGTTTGTGTTGCTCAGTCTTTAGTTTTCTATGTTTGTTTTGTGTACTATTGTTTGTCTGTTGGTCTTTTTCTTTTTTAGCCATGGCGTTGTCAGTTTATTTTTGACTTATGAGGTTAAATGTCCCTTTGGTATCTTTCGCCTCTCTTTTGTTCATGATACCACTGGTGATGTCTTCTGAGCATGTAATAATTTTTCTAAATTTTATCATGTCTGTATTAGTGTTATGACTTGGTACCTTTGCCAAATAACGCCTTAAATCTTTTTGATTGATTGATTTATTTTAGGTGCTTTAATGCCACTTTCAGCACTATTGGCTATTTCGTGGTGGGCAGTTTTTATTGATGGAGGAAGCCATAGAGAACCACCGACCATCGGTAGATAAGCTGGCAATCCTAGTCAATTAAGATTGGAGTCAAACGCACCTGCGACATGCAGGATTCACACTCACAACCTCAGTGTTTAACTACTTAGACTACTCGACCCTCAAGGCCCCAAAATCTCTTTGAATACATATATATATGTATAAAGCAATTAATATTAACAGTTAATTAAACATGTATATATTGTTACAGAGAGGCTGAAAACATAAAAAAAAAAATGTCGTTATTGTATAGCAACATAATATTTCCCTCAGAATGTAACGAAAAGTTAGCGTGAAATATTCTATGATATTGCACTAGTGCAAATATAGCTTTAAATCATAAATGTCATCAGTAAGAAAAATGATTTTGACAGTTTTTTTCAAGCTTTGCAAGACAATAAATTAGGGTTATTGCATAAATATTATCCCTCTTAAAAAGTATATTGTACTGCCAAGCTCATGCAATATAAAAAATCTACTCGGTACAATAATCATGCAATGACCCTAAAGAGTCTGCAGAACAGAGTTGTTTATCTAAGCTTTGATAAATAACAAGTTTTTGTTATATTGGTACATCATAAAAGCCTAGCCACATAATATTTTTATGTAGTTCATGGCTGTTGAAGTATAAAAATACAAATCTTAAATTACTCCTTTAAGGTTACCAGTATTGCTCTTTTGGTTATCCATTTAGTAACTGTCCCTCTGTACTTTTTGGAGCCTAAGCAAAACATTAATAATGTTTTTGTAGCCAGCTGTTCTACCAATTCAAAATGTTAGATAGCTTGATTAAATTTTGACTGACCATAAAGTCTAAATTGATCTGGTCCCCTGCAAAGCTCTATCCCTGTTAGACTTGCTCCTTGAGATCTTAGTAGTTATTTACAAAAAGTGGGCGTATTGTCATTATGTAATTTGGTTTACTACTGTTTGTAAACAGGACTTGTTTTTCTTGGAAAAGCTATGTACGTCAAACTTATTTTTACTTCAAAGAAAAAAGGCAAAGTGCATATAAGATAAACAGTAGAGTTATGTTGGATATTTAACCATAACAGCAATATAATTTGAGTTTTATAGTACCTTTTTATAACATATTTAACTGATAAGACTTTAACTATAAAACGGGACTTGGGCGAAAAAAGTATTAAAAAGTTTAGTGTCGGCAGAACATTTAGCTGGGACATCATTTAAGAAGCATTCTGTGATATCCACTGTGCTTCGAGGATTTAAATGATCATTTTGTACAAATTTGGTAAATTATATATACTTTTATTGATATTTGTAAACTTGGAAAAGATGATAGAAATCATAGAAAATAAGGCCTCTCAAATATGAATGTTCATTGCATTGTTTATAAAGAAATTATACAATTAAAGCCGGTTGCCTTGACAGAATTTTTGCTTTACTAATTATATAACATATTACGAATCTGAAGGAACTTTTCCATTATATATTCTGATGTTAATTAAAGAATGTAGGAATAATCAATATGCAAATATATTTTAATATTTTCTGCTGAAAACATTAGTACTGGTCAGTCATTTTAAGTTCTCTTTTCAAAAAATTATAAAGTATGGCCTTAATGGTAGGCATTGTTTTATAATATAAGACATGCTTAATGTGATATGGTCTTAATTATGTATTTCCTTCTATTTAATTCCCCCCCCCCCCTCCCCCCAAAAAAAATATACTAAAGTTTATATTTTTTTACATTTATTCACATACTCTCTTTTTTTTCAAAGAAATTTAGACCTTTCAATCTTGTAAAAAAGGTTAAGAATTTCTCTGTTGATAACATTTATATATTTGAGATATTTATTTCTGCATATCAGATCAGAAGAAGAAACGGAGACATTAGTCTCAATTTTAAAAATTATTCTTTTATATACCTTTTTATTGCTATCTTTTGAGTTTCTATTTCATGATATTTTCTTATTTTTATCTGAATTGAATTAATATTATACTTTACTTTCTTTTGGGTTTCTATTCCATATGTGTAGAAACAAAATCAATTTTAAGACTTACTAAACATGCTAAAGGTTAAAATGGCATGTGTTAAAGTGTCAGCTGATTATGCGGCATGGGTTTTGCTCATTGTTGAAGGCTATATGATGACCTATAATTGTTAGCTTCTATGTCATTTGGTTTTTGGTTGAGAGTTGTCTCATTGTCAAATAATACAACATCTTCTTATTTTTAGATGTAAATGAATGCATGTTTCTGCAAATCCTAAAAAAATCTGCAAATGCAGTTTTGAAAATAGAGAAGTTTTTAATTGGTGATATTTTGAATTCTTCAAGAATGAGTTCTGCAAGGCCTTGTACAGGGCAGTTAATTACGCAGATGTCTCCATATTGATTTTTAGGTTCCGATATAAAAATTGTGATGGAAAAAATCAACTTTTCCTTTTAAACCTGACTTCTTTACATAAATATATAAGTCAACAATATTATAATTGTAGTATTTAACTAAACATTTACTTTACTTGTGCATTGGTTTTTTTTTTTTTTTGCATGTAATAGCTTTTTATTAAAAGGCCATACTGTTCAAACTTAGATATCTGACTAGGTTGACAAAATACATTGAAGTAAAAGTTTACTTGGGAGTACAAATATTTCTAATGTACATATATCAATTTCAACTATACTGTTATTGGCAAATTTACCAATTAAAGTGCATGGTCTTCAGCCCACAACAATTTGATCAGAAAGCCTTTTAATTCTCTGACCTTCTCAAGTTTTGGAAAGACTGAGTCAATAGAAATGTTTACCTTTTATTCAACAAGGATTATTGTTGTGTGTAAATAATGCACTTGAAATATTTTCAGTTCATTTATTATAAAAACTTAAAGAATACAAAAATTGGATTCTAAACGTAAATAAAATCTCACAATTTCTTAGTTGCATATAATTTGATTTGTCATGTACAAAAACATAAATACAGTAGCCGGGTTATCACTAACGATTTTTGAAGATTTTTGAAGGCGTGTCTAGGGACTTGTCAATTTTTGAAGGCGAGTCTAGGGACTTGTCAATTTTGGGAATGGCCAGTCCAGCATTGCTATTAAATTTATTATTTCAGTCTCCCATTACAAAATAAAGCAAGGATTAAATGACATCAAATTTTAATATTATTTTTCACTTTTACTCTTAAATGATATGTATGCTCTTTGATACATTATTTTACAATCTTGATGCATCTTGAAAATGGATGTGCATGTATCTCTATTACAGTATCAAACCATTTAGATGCTCACTAACAAAAGTAGGAAGAATATACTCTTTCCATTTGCTTTTTGTAAACATAGTTGGAATTTTGTACATTTGAATAATTTTTATTATTATGTCCTTTTCTTTCATTTTTGTAGTTAATGAGGACATAATATGTAAATGTGCATATCCACCAGAAAATTTTTATCAGTTGACTTTTGTAGAGTTATGAGTCTTTGAACTTAGGAATCTGGTGAGATTTTGTTTGTCCAGTGACAATGTGGGGGTGTGGGGTATGTGAGTGTGCTCACAAAGGTTCTTCAATTTTTTTTCTTTTTTCACTCCTGTGCTCTGATCGTCTAACACAGATCATGCTGATATTATTTTATTTTTCTATTTCAGTCCTGTGCTCTGATCGTCTAACACAGATGACAAAGACATATAATGACATTGAGGCCGTAAATAGATTATTAGAAGAGGTGAGACTTTAACGATAAAAACAGATGATGAATAACATGTAAACTAAACAGCTTACTGGGGATTCATTATTATTCGTTGGGTACCAATTTTCGTGGATTTCGTATGTACAGGTGAACCACAAATTTAAATGTTGAACGAATTACACACATTCTATGGGCTTGTATGCAGACTTTGACAAAACCAGGAAATCAAATGTCCACCACAATGCAAGTTTTCCTCAATCCACGAAAATTGGTACCCACGAAAATAAATGAACCCACAGTATGCATGGTATGTAGATTTGGTCATGGCCACCTGTCCAACATTGACTGACCTTTTTAGTCAAATGAAATCTAACCATAGATTTATTATAAAATATTAAAATTCAAAGAGTAACTAACTTTTCATTTGTATAGATTTAATTCCTACGATGATAGAAAATAAATGGCATGACATGTCTAATCTAGAGGAAAAGAAAATAAATGGCATGACATGTCTAATCTAGAGGAAAAGAAAATAAATGGCATGACATGTCTAATCTAGAGGAAAAGAAAATAAATTACATGTCTAATCTAGAGGAAAATAAAATAAATGGCATGACATGTCTAATCTAGAGGAAAGACACCAGGGACTTTGTAGAAGTTTTTACCCACTCCTAGCATGAACTCTAGTGTATAATTAAAGTACTTCTGAACCAACACCTCTTAAATTTTGTGCTGGTAGAGTTCCCTTAAGTGGATACCAGATGGTATGCAGGGTTGGCAGATAAAAAATATTAAATACCGCTAAATTGACAACAACACTTAAGTGAACTGCAACTTTTAATTGTGCACATGTTTTGCCGATTAGTTCGGCGTCATCCGGACAAAGTATAAAAAATGTAGTGTTTAATGTAGAACATATTTGCAATACATGTATATGAATAATATTTTAACAGGATATGCATCATACATACATATTTTTGAGTAAATTGATGACAGTTATGAAAGTAACAGTTGTTACCTGTAAATATTTTTCAGTAATGAAAACGAAACAAAAATATCTACCACTCCTTTACCCCCAAGAAATGAAATAAAACAGTACTAAAAACAAAGAATAGAAAAAATGGTGAATTGACTCACTTATTACTATTGAATACTATTCAAATGCATAATATTAGAACTGTTAATATAAAAATTGAGAGATGTGGTATGATTGGCAATGAGACAACTATCCACCAAAGTTCCAATGAAGTGAATGTAAGCAATTATAAGCAACAGTACAGCCTTCAACAATGAGAAAAACCCATGCCGTATAGTTGCCTGCAGGGGTTAAAAAATCCACTTGCCCGACACCCAGGACTAGAACATTTACGCCTTCTGGCAATCAAAATTTTTAACCCAATATGCCCGATGGACTAGTAACAAAATATTCTTGGCGTTTCCAAAATAGAAAGTGGAAAATCCCTTCATCACTGTTCTATCTTAGCCAATCAGATTCAATTACGTCATCGGGGATTCCAAGAATTTGAACTGGTTTGTACAGGACCTGTTGTACATATTTTAAATATAGAACAAATAAGTCTGAGTGGCCCGGTATTATGTATTGATCGCAATTCTCGTACTATAAATATCGATTTCTCAGTACATGGGGCAGGGGGGGTTATTGAACATTTCTTATGATGAGATTTTCAATTAAAGGTACTGGGGGTATGATGTATTGATCGGTATTGACCTGTCTTGTCGAACAGCTGTTGAGCACGAAACCAATCCATGCAACCAAATATTTCTAAATATTTTAGTACGGCATCCAAGGAACTTCGTCAGTTTTAAAACAAAAACTGTAGATGAAGGGGTAATGAGACTGACAATTCATCCCCCAAAAATGACAAATACAACCAGGAAAAGCAGAAAGGAAAATTTATAGTGTCCCAGAAAGAAAGATTCCCCTGGGCAAGGTCGGCCGTGTTGCTGATGACAAAAACAGAGAATATTGCCATTATTTTCCCCGAGCATGCCAATAAAAAGTCTGCTTTGTATGTGGGAACAACTAAGTTAGGATAACTTAAGCACCACTGTTTGTTTACCAACAGAATAAAAAGCAGGTCAACAAAAATTAAAGTGTATAATGCCGCTTTCAAAACAAGGGACACCCACTTTGTAATTATGCAGCAAAATCTGATTTGTAAGGCATTCTCGGGCTAGCAGGTCAGTTTTGATGGGCTAGCAGTTCTTCCAACAGGGCTTGTAAAATCCTGCTGCGAATAAGTCCTGGGCTAGTTACCTGTAACAAAATTTTTTAACCCCTGTGCCTGGCTATAAAATGCCTGTAATTTAGTACAGATCTATTAAGATCATGTAAGATTGATTAATGCACTCTTGAAGTCCACAGGCAATATTTCAGGCATATTCAGGAAAAAAAATCTTTTGTAGAGGGTAACTGCAATATATATCACTGCTGTATAGAATTAGGACTGAAGAGGATAGGGTTTCATTTGTTTAATCTGTTTCATCTGAAAAAGACGAAAGTTCAACTAAACAAATACTTGAATTATTCTACAAAAACTATACAATGACCAAATAAAGAAAGTGTCATCTTACTATAACTTTTGTTATTGTAATGGCTTTATTTTCTCAATGCCATAGTATGTATCGGCGGGAACAGACAAAACAAAGAGATATCAGCAGATTGATCTCGGTTAAAGTTAAGCAACTGTGTCCAACTGATGCCCCAAAGTACTCATTCTAGTTTAAACTCCGGTCTGGTTACCAGAGATGTGTGTGGGAGGGTGAAAATCACCTTTCTGATGTACTGAAATTTCCAGCGCCCCAAGTCAGAATCAAACCAGAGACCTTCAGCACTTTAGCCATCGGTCTTTAAACCACTAGACCATGAACCAAAGTTAAAATTTGTTGACTAATAAATAGATATCTTGCTAAAAGACAAGTGTGTGTCATCTTTAAATGTGTGTCATCTTTAAATGTTTGCTCTTTTAATATTACAGAAAGAAAGAGATTTAGAACTTGCAGCACGTATTGGACAAACACTTTTAACCAAGAATCAAGAATTAGAAACAAAAAATGAGGGTCTTGAGGAGCACTTATCTACAGTTGTTGATAAGGTATGGTATATAATCTTTTATCAGCACCCTCACTCTCTATTGGCCAGATAAATATGCATATATATATATATGTAAATTACACTGAATCTGGTTGGTCAATAAAATACATCTTGGTGATGTTTATAACATTGATTTTGATTAGACAATAAAAGTCAGCTGGGTGATGTTTTTTTTTAACCTTGAATACGATTGGACAATACATACAGCAATTCTTGTTTAAGAAACAAATTCTGATTAGACAATACATATCAGTTGATTTTTTATACCATGGATTCTAATTATTCTGTTACTCTGTAGTTTCAAGAAATGAAACCTTGAAAAATGAAGTAAATGCTTGTTCACTGACCAGTCCTTGACATTATTTTTTTTTTTTTTTTGGAGAAAGCAATTCCCAACCAGTTTTTGTCTTTCAACTACACTAATTTTGAAATTATTGATTCATTGAAATAATAATTTGCACAGAAGGTATTTCTTTGTTTTTTTATTCTATGAATATTAGAGTCTTGTTTTTTTCTTCGGTAGATATAATTTAATGTGAATTTGGAGTTGTATTCCTGCATCTGTCATCAAAACAAAGTTTGTTTTTTTTTTAATATGTAATAAGGTACCGTGAATCTTTCCGGATTAAATTGTTTTCTTGCCTGGATAAGCTTGTTTGTTATTTACACACACACTTATTTTTTATGGGATACATTGATTTTCAGGATAGAAGAACATTTAATGTTTGCTTTCTATTGATTGCATTGCATTATGAATTGAAACGACAATTATACATATTAACATGATTAACATTTGCAGACATCAATCTATGAATTGATGGCAAATAAAAATTGTGTGTTAACTATCTTAATGTTATTAGTAATCCATTACAGGATTTCTTTTGAAGAAACAAATCAAAACATGAAATGAATGAACTTAATGTGAAAAAACTTTGAATTAGAATAACTCATTCAAGAATTCAAATAGAAAAATATTAGATGAGTGACTGAACAACAAATAAATTCACAAATCCATGTAGCATATCAGTTAATTATCAGTGTTGTTTGGTCACAAATTGAATATTTTTCTATATTCAAATTAAAAAATCAAAATAGGTATTCTTTTTATTACATTGACAATGGATTTTGAATGGAAATAAAAAAAATTAAAAAAGTTACTATATCTTTTTCAAAAGATTGTTACATTTTCTGAACTATTTCAAACTAGCTGCATTGAAAAATTTATAATACGATTATTAGATATATAATATTACATGTATTATACAATTATATTATTTTGACAGGTCAACCAGTTAAAACATGAGGTAATTTTGAAGGATGGCCTTCTCCAAGCCTTCACAGAGTATGAAGGTGGAATATCTCCTAGTGATGACTCCCTTAGGTAAGATCCTACAGATAAATGGCCCTCTTCAAGCCTTCACTCAGTTTGAAGGTTTAGTATCTTCAAGTTATCTCTCTAAGTAGAGGAGGGACAACAGCCTAGGTGCTGTGTGTAAAACTTTAAAAGTCACATGTTACGATTTAAGCTTCCGTTCGGCAATTTTAAATATGGTAAAAGATCGATTTGTTCATATTTTTTTTATATTAAATGTACTATAAACTGGGAAATTTTTTAGCCGTCTTTTTTTCGCGATTCTCCAACCAAATCTTAAATTCACGATATCCAGCTGGTGTCCTACATAAGTATTTTATAATAAATGATTTTGAAAGTGAACAATTTTACATGTGTCGTAAATCAAGTGATAATATCAATCAGAAATTCTCTTTGTTGGTAACCGTCCATAAATGTGAAAGTAGTTTAAAGTTATAAGTCATGCTTGCTTTTAAAAATACATACACAATAAACAAAGAAGAATGACATATTAGACTCATATAATAGATATAAGAAGATGTGGTATGAGTGCCAATGAGACAACTCTCCATCCATTTCAAAATTAATAAAAGTAAACCATTATAGGTCAAAGTACGGTCTTCAACATGGAGCCTTAGCTACATTTAAAGTTATGATTTTCGGTATAGATCTGTGGTGTGTAAACCCAGTGTTCTGATGGGGTCCTTTACATATTCTATTCATATACGTTCATATATGGATTTCATCTTATGAATCGGCTTTCCTCGAAATATGTGTGTTTGTTTTATTTTCGCGTTCCAACTCATACCGTGAAAATAAAACTGCGGCAAAAATTTCCCTGTTTACAGTACTCTTATGTATTCATTGAAATTATAGAAATTTTCACATAGAAAGATTTATTTATGATTGATATTCACTTTTTCATCAAATATTTATTGTAATTTTTAATGATTTTGGGTAAACTATGTCATTAAAATATCTGTCCTGTAATCATGGTAATAGAAGGAATTTATATTAGATCTCTGTAAAAATACAAGGCATACATTTTTGTTACTATTTCGAAATATGCATGTGAAATACATTGAAATTTATATCAATGTTCATACATCATGTACATTCTGATATATAAAAGATCTCCTTAATTCTCTATCCGTTGCTACATAATAAGTCATTAAAAACCATAGATTTTCAATTTGTATTAAAATGATGAACAAAGTCATTTTTGGGGGGGTTTTTTTCTCGTCAATTATTATGAAGATGAAAGAGACTGTGTTTGCATTAATTTACCAGCGCCAAATATTGTGGTAGATGATTTGCAATAAGTAATGTACACATTAAATTCCTATTTTACAGTATTGCAGAATACGTCTTACAATTTCTGTGTTTATTTTTTAGTGATGACAGTCTCCATTCGAGTGGTGTGAAATCATTACAGAAAAAATGTGAAACCTTGGAACAGGAGAATGTCAAACTTAAGTTGGAGGTAAGACCGAACGAAATTCATCAGCTCTCGTAAATATTTGCAGACTCAGTTAAAATGAAAATAGAATAAAGGAGAGGTGGTACGATGGCCAATGAGACAACTATTTACCAGCAGAGACTAAACACAAATGTCCATGCCCCAATCGTCTGTGCCGGCAACCCAAAAAAGGATTGAAACAACTATTGGTCACCATACGTCTTCAACATTGAGAAAAGTTTACACCATATAGTCAGCAATTAAAAACCCTGCAATGAAAAAGTGTGAAACAATTCAAATGAGGAAAACAGCGGCCTAATTTACGCTAAAACAATAAAAGAAAACAAATTTGGCAGACATTAGTTTGTTTCAAATGTCTAGGAAAACAAATCATACAAAATATGATACCTGAAGAAAATTGAAAGTTTCTAAAAGATTTATTTCTAAGGGCTGTTCCATTAAAACATACATGGTACCCAGGGAAGGCACTTTAAAAATGGGGTAACCACCTATAGAGGTAAATTTCATTTACATTTCCACTATGCAAAAACATAGATGACACCCACCCATAGTTGAGATTTGGAAGTGCCTTCCCTGGGTCCCATGTATGTTTTTATGGAACAGCCCTATGTCAAAACACTTACATATAACTGTATCATTTTTGTAACAGCATTCTCATGACTGTAACACAAGTTCTTTAAGGAAACAATTGAAATATGACAAAGTAGAAACCTGGCAGAAATCTTTCTATACCTAAGGTTGAAACACCTTTGGGCAACATTGACCGATGATGGTTTTGGCAGTTCTGCCAAGGCCTACAAAAAAAAATACCTGTGTTTCCGCTAAGTTTTTTTTTGCTATTTTGGGATGTCTCTTCTGTAGCACCTAGGTAAAAACTTAAAATAAAGGAAAGTCTTTTCCTTGCCTTTTCTAATTGTACCAATATTTTAGCAGAAACACACATATTTTTACTAGGCCTTAAACCCTTCCCTTCTCTTAAGTATTTTGTATCGTTGCCAATGCATAATTTTTGGTCTTGAGCGTACCTGATGAAGATTTCTGCTGTAAATAAAACTCATCATAGATACCAAGATTAAAATTTTGTACGACAGACGTGCATTTCTTTTACAAAAGACTCATTAGTGACTCTCAAATCAAAAAAGTTAAAAAGGCCAAAAAAGTATGATGTTGAAGAGCATTAAAGACTCAAAAGTTCTGAAATGTTTTGTCAAATGCAGGTAAGGAAGACTTTTCCTAGGGTAGAAAATCCTTAGTATTTCGAAAAATTCAAGGTTTTGTAAACAGTTAATTTCTAGTTATGACCATATCAATGATAATTTACATATGATTGTGTGGAAATCATAGTGTGTGTGTTTTATTTAAGGAGAAATGAAATAATATTTTTGTGTACTTTTTCAGACTGCCCAGTTGTCAGCAGACACATATGAACTTGAAGAGAAAGAGTCAAAACTAGTTAATGATTGTCTTCAACAGTTTGGTAAGATTTGTTGAAAAATTATATACCGTTTAGCGGGTTATTTTTCGCGGGTCGAAAATTTCACGATTTAGGGGCAACAAAGTATACATAAAATGTTGGCAGTTTTTGGAAAATGACGCTATCAGCGGCATGTTTCCGATACCATTGACCAGAACTAACGGAAGTTGATTATGCCTCCGCCTACAGCACTCGGTTTCATATTTACTATTTTACATACTAACTGGAATCTGCTTGTATTACGCTACACTCGAACAAAGTCTTTGTTAAAGTGTTGTAGTCGGACGGGAACCAGTTTACATACGTTATTTTATTTACCAAAAAGATACCTTGACCTGTCCAAGGATTTGTATAGTGATTTCTCACGAAATCCTTGACCTGTCCATATGTTTTTTGTTATTTAATGGTATTTGGAGCTATCCCTTTGTTATATTTTTCATATTTATTCGAGCTTTCACTTTTATGCACATGTCTTACAATCGTAAACAATCGGTATGTAGATCCGTTTTGTTGTGGTGTTGGACTTTTTACCCTCCAATGATCAGCAATCGCTAGACAAAATAGTTCTCCTAAATAATGTCAGCCTTTCATGCCATTTCAACTTTACAATCATTAAAAAAGTAATAATCGGAATCATTTTGATATCCATTGGATAGAAACTGGTCTTTATCCAGATTTACGAAGATTTTAATAATCGGAAATTAGTAATACGGTTATACCCACGCGGTGCGTATGAATCTTTGTTTACAAAGTTATAGCAGCAGAGTCTGTAACTGTATCATTATTAATTAACTACACTGTTATTGTACTTAATATGATGAAAACTGCATATGCAATATAAGATGTCAACTCGGCCAATACAGATTTTTTTTCCGTATTGGCCGAGTTCTGATCTGGCCAAACCAGGATTTCGGAACGTCTCAAGTTTTTAGATCGTAAGTCACGATAAACTCAAACTGAAAGTAAACAGATGTTTGTACTACGCAGTTTTTATTTACTCACCATAAACAAGCTGAAACGTTCAGTATGGCATATATTTTAGGTTAAAGACGGTCCCATTCGTTTGAAAAGCATTTTGAAAGAAGACGATGGAATTATTTCAGGTTTGGGGAACGAGTAAATTATCACAAAGTTCATTTCTTGACGACCTCATAATTTCATCATGTCGATGGTACAAATCGATTTTTACTGTTCACTTTCGCTTCTCATGTTTTGTAAACGGTCTTTTATTTTTTAAACCCGAAACAGGCATATGCATTCTGTAATTGCGCAAATCTTCGTTCTTTGGTCAATTGGTTTATGGATAGTTGTATCAATTTCAACTCTTACATTATTTTTTTTTAAAATATATTTGCATTACACATGCAATGGCAGTACCTTTCCAATTACTATTTATGTGTTGTGTCTAAATTAAAGTTGTAACACTTTATAGTGACTGGAAAGGGTAGAAAAATTCATCAGATGAGAAAAGGCTGAAGATACATGGAAACGGCACCAAATCATTAGATATTGCATCTTATAAAAAGAAACTGAGATTTGGATAGTTCCACTTCAAGGTAATAATGTTTATCTCTTGTGAAATGAAATAAAAAAATATTGTAACACTGTAGTTTAATAATTAATAAAGATACTATTACATGTATTTCTGTATTGGCCTTATTGTTGGTCCTCGGCCAGCAGTATTGGCCTTCGGCTTCGCCTCAGACCAATACACCAAGACATGGACCAATAACAAGGACAATACAGAAATCCTTACGCAATAATATTTTAGAATGACAGTATGGTTCAATAGCGGGAATCAGCCCCTCAACTACTTTTTACATAAATATTAACTTCTGGCTTCAACTCCTTGTTCGTCTTGTCTGGAGATCTTGTTGTAGTTCCAGTTAGGCAAGCATTTAGAGACGTATCCCGTCCATCCTCTCTTGACTTGTAATTTCTGATGATAGATTTTGCCGCTTGACGTATCCTTTCAAGCTTGTTTTTTTTTTGTTACCGTGTAGGAGTCCCATACTATGGCTCCATATTAAATTGTAAGATCCATTCCTAAAGGTCTAGATCATTGTTCTAATCTGACACAAATTTCAATAACTGGAATGCTACCCAATTTGAATATAATGGTGACCTACTAGAACAGCATTATCACTATTGAAATTGTGTTTAATACCACGATTGTTCAATGTCATTAACTTAAATGGAGACAGACATTTGACCTGAAAGGTGGTGTGGGAGTGCAAAATCAAAAACTAACTGACTATGATATATGGTTAAAGAATGAATATCAATTACATGATGGTTAAAGAATGAATATCAATTACATGGGTCAACATGGTCAAGGGCAGAGTTGTTATAAAATAACAATATGGCAGAGAAGTGGTTTCAAGTTTCATATAAAGCGACCTGACTGACATGAAATAAAAAATCAAAGGAGTTTCCCTATTTGTCTAATCTTCAAGGTGAAATAAAACTAGTAAAACAATATTATACTATTGTCTAAATCTACAGAAATATAATTTGCTTCAAGTAACAGAAATAACTAGGTCACTAGTAACTTATTTAATGAGTATGTGGGGTATAAGAGCTTGATAACAACAGGCTCTTCATAATCATTTGGTTTGAAAAGGATACTAGTAGCCTATATTCTTGATTTAGAAAAATGTAATTGCAAGACAAAAATCACATTACTTAGAATACTGTAGATCATTCAGGTAGTCTTTATATATATGTACAAAAGAACAGCCAGTCGTCATTGGATATTGTAGATCATTCAAATAGTCTTGACCTATTTATTAGTACAAAAGAACAGCCAGTAGTCATTGGATATTGTAGATCATTGTGGTAGTCTTGACCTATTTATTTATAGAAAAAAACAGCCAGTAGTCATTGGATACTGTAGATCATTCAGGTAGTCTTGACCTATACATTTGTACTAAAAAAACAGCCAGTTGTCATCTTCACATAACACACACATATACGAATATCAATTATATGCTTACGAGACATGTTGGAATGTTAAACTAATTACGGTATGTGAAAATCAAGACTTGCATAAAAAATATCACAATATTAGAGACCGTGGCGTCATTTTTCCTCAGAGCTTTCAGCTCTTTGATTATTTTGGTGGATTCTTAAATCCCAATAAAATATTTTGGCGGATAATGAAATTGTTGCAGATAAAAAGTTGTAAAAATTGAAAAGCAATTGTCTATTGTTATGGTTAATTGATTTTTTTACCGGAATGACGTCTTATTTATTGATTATATTCTGATACAGTTAATCAATAGAATACTGGTAACTTAGATTTGTCACAGGTATACACACTTCTTTAAATTTTACGATTGATTAGTTACGAAATTGACCAGACCTTTGATGTACTTACTAATTAGGTTATAAAATTATCAAGATTGACTTACAACTCTTCTGTAATTTGACACTAATTAATAAGGGTAATTACCTGATAGAGTACCTTACACGCTTAATCTATTTAACACTAATTGATAAGGGTATACACACCTGACAGTCATTTTATAAAATACATGTATGTACAATGCCCTTTGGCATTTAGGTTGTTAAAACTAACCTATACCGTTATTGACCTGCCGACCAGAAAAAATAGATCATTAAAAAAATGCTTTAGCTAATAGAAAGTGCCGAACGTATGCATAAATTTTTGCGGAATTTATTTTTTAACGATTTTCATTTATCCGCCAAAACAAGCAAAAATAACCTGCTATACGGTACTCTGGAGTCGTTAACATAAAAATAGTCTACTATGGATTCATTTATTTTCGTGGGTACCAATTTTCGTGGATGAAGGAAAACTTACATGTTCGTGGATATTTAATTTCGTGGTTTTGCCGAAGTCTGCATACAAGTCTTAAGAAAATTTGTCATTCGTTGAACATTTAATTTCGCATCCACAGTATTGCTTCAGTTGACCAAGTCCTTGTGTTTTAGGTTGTATTTTTATGCCCCACCTAGGGGCATTATGTTTTTCGGTCTGTGCGTCCATTCGTCCGTTTTGTCCCGCTTCAGGTTAAAGTTTTTCAGGTTAAAGTTTTTGGTCAAGGTAGTTTTTGATGAAGTTGAAGTCCAATCAACTTGAAACTTAGTACACATGTTCCCTATGATATGATCTTTCTAATTTTAATGCAAAATTAGAGTTTTGACCCCAGATTCATGGTCCACTGAAAATAGAAAATTATAGTGCGAGTGGGGTATCCGTGTACTATGGACACATTCTTGTTTCTTTATAGTTTTGTAAAGGTCTGGAGTAAGAGTTTGGTCTATCTTTAGGAAAGGGCCTTAAACTGAAACATTTCGACAGAAAATGATGTGGATTGTATAAACAGTTAAAGTAGAACTGTAATATTAAAGCTTGAAAGCATAAAAATAAACCCGTCATAGATCCAAATAAATTGCCTTATTTCTGTAATTCTGTTTATTTTTATAACAGTTGAAGTAAAGAAAGATTTAGAACATTATGTTGAAGAATTGGCCAAAAAGACAGAAGAGAACGGTGCACAGAAAGAAGAAATAACCAATTTACTGGCACAGATTGTTGACCTTCAGAGGAAAGTTAAAGTGGTAAGAAGTGTTAATGGTGTGGACTTAAATAACTATATAGACATTGGTCCTTTTCAGTAAATATCCAATAATACACAAAAAACTGAAGATAACCAAAATCACCAAAACTGAAGATAACCAAAATCACAAAAACTGAAGATAATCAAAATCACCAAAACTGAAGATAATCAAAATCACCAAAACTGAAGATAACCAAAATCACCAAAACTGAAGATAACCAAAATCACCAAAACTGAAGATAACCAGAATCACCAAAAATACCAATCTCATTAAAATGTACACTCAGTTCTACCTTCTGTTCTGGTTATTTTTACATCAACCAATGAAATTCTGCCAACAAATTTTTGAAGGTGTGTATCATTTGGACAAAACCTGAGGATTCCGAAAGGCCTTTAAAACAGAAAGTAGAACACATCCTTGGAAGCGTGGCATGGAAAAGGATACGTATTTCAATCAGATTGCAAAAAACATTAGACAGTACAACAGACAAATCAATCACCAACATTTGACTGACTTTAGAAAAAACAAATGTACACACATAGTACAGCGCTTAAAAGAAATTTACGCTTATTGTCATCCAATTAGAACCATTGATACAAAATGATTGCATTTGAAATTTAATGCTATTATGAACCAAAAAACAGAAATCTAAACTTCAAAAATTGTGCCAATTCATTAGAATTATAAATGACAAACTGGATTCTCTCTGATGATAACCTGTCGGCTATACTGATCGTACCGTTGTAAAATAACTCATATTTAATGCTTCCTCAACAAATGTACAAGGCAATGTAATGTAAATTAATATGTTTTTCTGTATACCTTTGTTCAACTTAGGTGATACCAGAATAAAATGATATATATATAATACAATCTTCATGAGCAAATCAAATGAAGATCTACTGTTTGATATATCTTGCCTATTTACATTGACAGAGAAATTACTACTCATAAAGTGATACTAAAATATTAAAAAAATATATCTATATTCTTTCTTTGTTTAAAAAATTAAAGAAGAACAATTTTATTTATTTTCCAGCAAACAGCAGAAAATCTAGAACTGCAGAAACATTTAGAAGCTTCACAAAAAACCCAAAGATTTTTAACACGAGAGGTAGGCATGGTTTGAAAGGAGTTTGCAATTTTCTTTCAGATACATAAAGAAAAATGTTTATTGGGGAAAATTTATGTGAGGCATAGATCTCATGAAATTTTAAAAAAAAATACTATTATACTGTAAATATTAATTGCAGTTCTTCATCTTCCGAAATTTACTTAATGAATGAGTTATCTTAAGCATTGCTCTTGGTTATATTTTGATAACCACTTTTCATTTGTTCAATTCTTGCCAGATTTTTATGAAACTTAAATCTAAAATCAGTGCCGATCATTGGTTTTAAAAGAGTTGTGCCCCTTGGAAACATTGATTTTATGGAAAATTGCATTGCTAGCTCTCTCATGTGTTCAATTCTTTCCAGATTATTACGAAACTTATATTATAGTTTAATTTATATCAGCAATGTCTTGGACGAGTTTGAAAATCAGTGCCGATCAATAATCAAAGAGTTATACTGCTTTGGAAATATTAATTATATGGAAAATTGCCTTATGAGCGCTCTAATGTGTACAATTCTTGCCAGATTTTTATGAAATTTGTATTATAGGTTTATATCATCACTGTCTTTGAGGAGTTCAAAATCAGTGCTGATCGATTATTTTTAAAAGAGTTATGCCCCTTGTCAGCAATGTCTTTGACAGTTTTGAAAATGATTTCTGATCAAATATTTTTAACGAGTTATGCCCTTGGAAATATTAATTATGATGGAAATCACATTGCAATTTGCTCTGAAGCCTACATCTCTCTAGAATAGTAATAAAGTTTTGAAGAACAACAAGAAAAATTTGTATGCCTTATGTTTTAGATCTCAGAGTTAAAAGATAAACATGATGAACTTGTTGCATTATACGAAGATGCACAAGAAGAGGTACGACAAGTACGTAGAAAACAGAAACCAGGAGCCGTGCGTCACAATTACATGTCTTCATCTCTGCTTAGTTTACCATCTGATTCCCTGGCATCCGAACTAGAGACATCACTGAAAGGGGATATGGAGTATCCTAAAGGATATTCACCTTCTGAAAGGAAGTAAGTACTTGGGTAGATTAGATTATTGGTAAGTGAGGCTTAATACCACATTGTACACTATATTCATTCCTTGGCCATATACACATGATTTTGTGGAAAAAATATTTTGTTCGATATTTTACATTTTGTTCAAATGCTACATCTCTTCCTGAAAAATATAAGCTCCTACATTAGGGAACAATTCGGGAATAGTACGAAATCAGTCTCAGTGATTCGTCAAATAAGGCTAAAGTTGTTTACCAATATTAAAATCTTCTAAATCAATTAGGAAAAGACAAATCAAGGTAACATATAGACACTTAGGGAATCTTTAATATGAACTTCAAAAGGAGCGTATCAGGTACGTTGACAGGGTAAGCCTATACTGGAATCACCTGCTATGCAAATTCACCCTAAGTAAAAATGTCACAATCGGAAAAATAACGGATCAGACAGCTATACTGGTTTCTAAAGATCTAAGACCGTGAAAACATGTCGTTAGTGAGTTAAGACTGATTAAAACTTATTGAGTATTGACTTCAGTCGTTCTGTAAGTCATACAACAATTTCATAATTATATTTAGACTGCTTGAATATTCCTAAATCATCCAGAATCATCCTGGATCATGACGAGGTGTGTTTGGTTTAGGTCCTAATTAACTAAATCATCCAGAATCTTCCTGGATCGTGGCGAGGTGTGTTTGACTCTGATCTTCATTAACTGAATCATCCTGGATCGTGGCCAGGTGTGTTTGATTTAGGTCTTAATTAACTAAATCATCCAGAATCATCCTGGATCGTGGCAAGGTGTGTTTGATTTAGGTCTTAATTAACTAAATCATCCAGAATCTTCCTGGATCTTGGTGAGGTGAATGACTCAGGTCTTAATTCACTCAATCATCTCAGGTCTTGATTAACTAGGATTGCCAGTTTTCCTATCAAGCTTAGTGATTATCTCTGGGTGCTCTGGCTTCTGCCAAATATTAAAACTTAAAACCATGAAAAAGCAAAATGCTAAACACGAACAACCAACAAACAGAATCTTCATGAAACATATTGAAGTGGACATCAAGGCCTCACTGTGACTTTGAGATGAAGAACAGCAATAAAAGCGCTGTTCCTTTGCTTTTTGTGTTTTTTGTTGTGCATGTATTGATTTTGTGTCATGGATGGATACCCATATCCTTTATTTTCTATTATATCAAACAACAATCAATATAGCAATTGCAGTGTACATTATATATGTTATCTTTTCAGGGTCCATAATTGGAAAGTTTTCGAGACAGTAAAAGCAGCCAAGAAGTCTGGATCACGATGCAGTTCTATACGTAGCGGTAGTCATTTAGGGGCATCTAATTATAGTTTGAACGACAGTATTGAATCCGCCCCTGTTTCGAATAGAAGTTCTATGTACTTCTCAGATCTTGAATCTGGACCAAGCGATGCAACAGGCAGTGATCTTGATGGTTTATATGGGTAGGTCAGATAGTCACAATGTTGTGAAAATAAGGTACCATGCTATACCTTGTGATGATTTTTACATCCATCACCCATCAACTTCCTGTTTATCCAATATTTATATTGAGGGTAACATTTGTAAGCAATAGCTCACATTTCAACTTTCAACTTGTTTTTCTTATGGTTTATATAAAAATAAGAAGATGTGGCATGATTGCCAATGACACAAATCTATACCAGAGATCAAATGACATAGAAGTTAACAACTATAGGTCACCGTATGTTCACCGTATGCTCTTATGATAAAAGAAAAAAAAAAATTTCTTGTCCAATTTAAAGGATGGGCACATGGGATTTTCTAGAGGTCACATGGGATTTTCTAGAATTTATGTCCTCTCTGTGCCCACTCCTTACATAGATATATAGGTTGAAATGACTAAACCCACATGAGGTATAAAGTATATTATTGTTTTTCCCTAGTATTTCAAAAGATTTTTGTCTCATCTACACCCAACTTTTTTTTAAATTTTTTTTTAGAAAGAAATAAATATTATTTATATATTTTTTAGGACCAGACATTCTTTGGGTAGACCAGGAATACCAGGGTCCAATGACCTAGAGACTGCTCTACGTAAATTATCACTCAGGAGGGCGAATGAATTGAACGAGCAGGATTATAAGGAGGAAGAAAACAAACGACAAAGACAGAGGTTTGTGGATTGAGGACTGCGAGCATAAGGGCCAATCTATTAAAATAAACGTTTGAGGATAAATGGTTTAATTTCGGACATGGGTCGTGGGTCATTTATAGTTCAAGTCCATATAATGTACTGTGGACTCATTTATATTTAAAAATAAGAAGATGTGGTATGATTGCAAATGAGACAACTCTCCAACAGAGACCAAATAACACGGACATTAACAACTATAGGTCACCGTAGGTCGTCAACAATGAGTAAAACCCATACTGCATAGTCAGCTATAGAAGGTCCCGAAATTACAAATGTAAAACAAATCAAACAAGAAATTTAACGGCCTGATTTATGTACAAAATATTGAATGAAAAACAAATATGATATACAGCAACAAATGACAACCACTGAATTACAGGCTCCTGACTTGGGACAAGCACATACAAAATGTGGTGGGGTTAAACTAGCTATAATAATGGTTGGTAACAATTTTCATGAATAGAGGGAAAATTTTATTCTCATGGATATTTGATTTTGCACTTTTGCAAAAGTTTTTGTACAAGCCTGTAGAAAATTTATACTTCATAGAAAATTTTAATTTTTGGTTTCCCTATACCCACGAAGTCACAATTGGTACTCCACGAATAATATTGAATCCACAGTATGAGAAATTAAGAAAAGGAAGTATGATGGTTGGTGGGTTTTTTGGAAGACCTTTCCTACCCTCCCACATTCATTTAAATGGAATAGTCCTATGTCTAAAATGATGAAAAAATATGTTTTATCATGTTTTATCCTTATTCTTATTAAAATTTATGTAACAGTTGGGAATTTTTTTAGGGACAGAAACTCAATTGTTAAAATTTCATTCCTGCTTTGTACAGTTCGAAAAATGAATGTTAAGTTAGAATGTAACATCATGCTTGAACTTCAGAAATCATTTCATATTTTATTTTAGATATAATTCATTTCATTATATAGATTTAAGAAGTATGGGTTACATAATGCTATTAGGGTTAAATACAAATGTAATCAAAGTGGAATAATTTGTGGTGATAAGATTTAGATAAAGGAATTTTCTTTTATTCCTAGAATTCTTTATCGAGAAACATGCGAACAAAATTATCCATGAGTATATGAATAACACATAGCTGAGAGGGTGATAGAGCAGATTGTTACCCCGAGAAAACATTGTCAACTGAGGCGAAGCCAAGGTTGACAATGTCTTTTCGAGGGGTAACAATCTGCTGTATCACCCTCTCAGATATGTGTTATTTAATTTATTATACTGAATGTTCTGTTATTACTGTCTATTAAATTTCAAATTAAAAGAAATAAACTATGACGTCTTGTACATAACAACCATCCGTATTCAATAAAGCGCACACTTGATCAAGCGTCTCCGTGAAGGGTAATAGAGTATTTGCCATAGGATAGAGAATTGTCTCCCTCGTATTAACCATTGAAAATCTGGCATTTTGACATGAAGTATAATAATATATATTAATGCAACAAAATATATCAGAAATCTATTCTAAAGTCTTTGTTTTTTTAATTGTGTATGAAGACCTTTTAAGTTTTGCATACCTTAGTAAATAATTTATTTTAGAATAAAAGGAAATGCAAAACTGTGTATTTTGTATTAGTTTTACACAAGATATTCACTCTGACTTTTCTTGAATCGAGGGTGGACATTTAACCATCAGAAAATAATGTAATCTCTGTAAATAATATAGCCAGTGTATCAAAGCAGGCATAGTGTATAAAATTAAACTTCTATTTTATTTTTCTAGGTCAGAAAATGAAAGTTCAACACCTGGTATTTGTCAAACACCAGACAGCACATTGTCAACAGGAAGTGGACTTAGTGGCTTATCAGGCATGACAGGAAGTAGTAATCCATATTACCGTCTGCCAGAAAAGTTGAGAATTGTTAAACCTTTGGAAGGTAAGTAGACATACCTTTGTAATGGATTTGTATTGATGAAATCTCACCAAAATGATATGTTTACATCTTTCTTAAAAAAGAAGATTTAAGGATGTTCGCTACTCTGTTTTAAAATAACAAGCTTTTTAAAAGACTGTTATAAATTGATTGTATATAAATAAAGGAACTAAAAAAGCAGAAAAAAATGAAGGGTCCGTGTGCTTGTTTTCGAGATATAAGCCATTGAACATTTGGTGGGGAAATACTTCTCTCTAGACTTTTCATACATTTAACATTGGCACCCGTTTTCTTTAAAAAATTATGAAAAAATAACAAGGACTTTATAGCATTTTCAAATATGGCTATTTAAATTATATGTAATAAAATTATGAAAAGAAAAATAGGGGTTAGCGGGCAAAATTTTTATCGTCACTAACATGGATAAAACTAGAGGATTCCGAATATCTGACAAAAAGTCAAAAACAAGAGTAGCGAACATCCTTAAGGGATAAAGGCTGTTCCAAAATTTATTTGGTATTGGGATGGGAGGCACTCCAATCTATTAGATATGAGTGGTTGTATTTTTCCTTAGAATTTTGTAAGAATTATAAATAAAAGAGTAAAATGAAACTTCTTATGGTTTACATCTTTCTCCCTACACTTAATTCTAGAAACAGCCCTAGAGTTAAGGAAAATAAAAATAACAAAAATACTGAAATCCAAGGAAATTCAAAATAGAAAGTCCTTTATCAAATGGCAGAATCAAAAGCTCAAACACATCAAACCAATGGATAACAACTGTCATATTCCTGACTTGGTACAGGCATTTTCTTATGTAGAAAATGATGAACTAAACCTGGTTTTATAGCTAGCTAAACCTCTCACTTGTATGACAGTCTCATAGAATTTCATAATATTGACAAGAAAGTGTGAACAAAACAAAAAGACATAATAGGTAAAAATGTCAAAAAAAGGGGTACAGCAGTCAACATTGTGTTATAATCTTAATCACTATAAAGACAAATAACTATTTCAACAAAGAAAAATAAAATGGCATATAGACACTCTATAGACAAAGTACATAAACAACAAGAATGTGTCCATAGTACACTGATGCCCCACTCACACTATCATTTTCTTTGTTCAGTGGACCGTAAAATTGGGATCAAAACACTAATTTGGCATTAAAATTAGAAAGATCATATCATAGGATTGGACTTCAACTTCATCAAAAACTACCTTGACCAAAAACTTTAACCGGATGCTGGACAGTATCATTTTCTATGTTCAGTGGACCATAAAATTGGGGTCAAAACTTTAATTTGGCATTAAAATTAGAAAGATCATATCATAGGGAACATGTGTACTAAGTTTCAAGTTGATTGGACTTCAACTTCATCAAAAACTACCTTGACCTAAAACTTTAACCTGAAGCGGGACAGACGGACGGACGGACGGACAAACGAACGGACGCACAGACCGAAAAACATAAAAATGAAAGACAAGAATACAAAATTGACCAAAGCACAATAACACAATGACAGGGTATATAAGTATCAAGCCATGCCAAAGGCAGAACATATCAACCAAACGAACAAAAAAACTCCGATATTTAACAGTAGATAACTATTATGTATCAAGCTCTATATAGAGGGTGGTAAAGGGTTATTTTCGTGCAACGTGTTTTGCCATTTTCATTTTACGTGCAGCCGTGAAAGAGGTTCGTTATTCACCGTGTTTCGTGAAATCTGTAAAAAGGTCAACGTGCAAGAAATTTTTAATTGTTCGTTCATCGTGAAATGGCAATTTTATTTCGCGTTCTTCCGTGCAGATACCCCCCCTTTACGTCCCTCTATAATCAAGATAACACATTGTAGGTTTATATGCAGTTTGTCAAAACTATTAAAATGATGTCAGTATCCATGAAAATTGGTAGCCACAAAATAAAACAAAATCCACTTTATAAATATATTTTTTTAAATTATATATTATCAGGTTCTGTAACTCTTAGGCAGTGGCAACAGTTAGCCACACCAAACATTGGCGGCATATTTGAATCTCGGCCAGGTGTTCAGATCAAGGGAGAAAGAAAACTTGATTTAGAAGAAGAACACCATAATCTCAGTGATCTGGAAGAAGATGGTAAGGATATATCTCTCATTATTAGAATTGATGACGTAAGGGAGACAACTCTTTGTTATTTTTATTATTTTTGAATTTGAACAATTCTAATAAAAATTAAATTTGTGTATTTTAAACGCAAGAATTTAAATATGTCTTTTACTACATTTGAATTATAAAAGAAGATCTTATATTCACAAATTTATACTTTCAAATCAGTATGCTTTTGGTTTTAATGTAGAAAAGAAAAATGTTCTTTTTGAACAAATACATTTCAATAAATTTTGTGATTAATATCAAATCTATTGAAGCAAAATTATTATGAATAAAAAGAGATGTATACACAATATTTATTTCACTGTAAATCAGTTGTGTTGGAAATAAAAAAAGATGCTTACACAATATTAATTTTACTGTAAATCAGTTGTGTTGGAAATAAAAAGAGATGCTTACACAATATTAATTTTACTGTAAATCAGTTGTGTTGCAAATAAAAAAAGATGCTTACACAATATTTATTTCACTGTAAATCAGCTGTGATGCAAATAAAAAGAGGTGCATACACAATATTAATTTTACTGTAAATCAGTTGTGTTGCAAATAAAAAGAGATGCATACACAATATTAATTTCACTGTAAATCAGCTGTGATGCAAATAAAAAGAGATGTATACACAATATTAATTTCACTGTTAAGCAGCCATGATGCAAATAAAAAGAGATGCATACACAATATTAATTTAACTGTAAATCAGTTGTGTTGCAAATACAAAGAAATGCAAACACAATATTTATTTCATTGTAAATTAGCCATGATGCAAATAAAAAGATGTATACACAATATTTATTTTACTGTTAATCAGCCGTGATGCAAATAAAAAAAGATGCATACACAATATTAATTTTTACTGTAAATCAGTTGTGTTGCAAAGAAAAAGATCCTTGTCAGGTATACTGCAGTCTTATTTACACCTGGTAATTTTCAGTAAGAGCTGTTCCAATTAAAACATACATTGTACTCATGGAAGGTACTTTGAAATAGAGTAAAGACCCCTAGAATTAATTTCAGAGACCTGCATTCATTTTAAACCTGTAATAAATAATCGCCTTGCCTGGGATCCTGAGTATGTTTTGATGGAAAAGCCCTGAGGTAGCTTCTAATTTTAATTCCTATCATCACAAATTAGCCACCAAATTTTGTCTCGCCTTGACGGAGTCAAAAAGCGAGACATAGGTATGCTGTTTCTGGCGGCGGCAACAACGGCAGCGGAGTCAACAATGTATTAGTTTGTGATTAGGTCTAGTTCATGGTGAGCCACTAGTGGTAGGTCAATGATATTTGGTATGCAGTAGTATTAGCATTGGCATATCTCATTACCATGGAGATTATTTGGCCCCACCCCATCAGTCAAGGTGTATTGACTTTGAAACTTTGCTTAGTTTACATGTATCAGTTTGTGATTAGGTCAGTTTATGGGAACCACTAGTGGTAGGTCAATGATATTTGGTATGCAGTTGTATAAGCATTGGCATATCTCATTTCCATGGAGATTATTTGGCCCCGCCCCCTCAGTCATGGTCTATTGACTTTAAAACTTTTGCTAAGTTTACATGTATTAGTTTGTGATTAGGTCAGTTTAAGGTGAACCGTTAGTGGTAGGTCAATGAAAATTGGTATGCAGTTGTAGAAGCATTAGCACATCTTATTTCCATGGAGAATATTTGGTCCTTACTTCTCAGTCATGGTCTATTGACTTTGAAACGTTTGCTTAGTTTACATGTATTAGTTTGTGATTAGGTCAGTTTAAGATGCAAGTTTCGTTTCCATGGAGATTATATAACCCTACCCCCTAACTATGGTTCATTGACTTTGAAACTTTTACATAGTTTACAAGTTAATGTTTGTGTTTAGGTTTGTTTAAAGGGAACGACTTATGAAAAGTCAATGGTATTTGGTTAGCAGTTGTATTAGCATTGGAACATCTCATCTCCATGGAGACTGTTTAGCCCTGTACATTCAGTCATGGTTCATTGACTTTGAATATTTGCATAACTTACATGTTAAAGTATTGCTATTTTAATTTCAACATTTGCATTATCAAAATAACAAATAGGCGAGACATATCTCTGTGTTAACAGTTTATTCTTCCTATATGTATTATTTTCTTAATTGTAGACGACTATGAACATTTTCCTGTGAGGACAGCTCAGGATGAAAGCTGGACTATCAATACATACACAAACTCTGTAGTACGACATCCATCTTGTTATCTAAGGTAATTATATAGTTAATGAGCACTAATTTATAAATAACAGCCAATATTGACTTACTGGGGATTCTTTTAATTTCGTGGGTACCAATTTTTATGGATTGCAGAAAACTTGCCTTTTCGTGGATATGTGATTTCGTGGTTTTGCCAATGTCTGCATACAACCTGATAGAAAATTTGTAATTTGTTGAACATTTAAATTCGTAGTTCACCTGTACCCACGAAAACTACGAAAATTGGTATCCAATGAATAATAATGAATCCACAGTAGCTTATTCTACTCATCCACAGAGGGAGAGGTCACCCGGTGGGTAAATTTTCCATCTTCTCTATTTAGTCCATTCAAAAGATATCCTACATCTCAATTTAGGTGGCTTGTCATTTTCACATATTAAGGGCAGCACACTCCAGATCACTCACATTAAATCTTTTTTAAATCTGGAATACTATCAAATTTAACTATTCTTTACAAGACATAATTATGGGTGCATGTTTTATGAAGAAGAAATAAATAGAGAATGTGTCCATATAACATTTTAAAGGGACATAATTCAAGAACAGTAAAAGTGACACAACTCAAATTTTAATATTTGGTTGAGGCCAACTAAAGTTAGAGAACGGAAAATAATTTTTGGACGTACGTACAGACCGACGTACAGACGGACAAGGATAAAACTTAATGCCCCTCTGCTGCGGCAGGGGCATAAAAGTATTGGCATTTCCACGTATTCAGCTGGGGCTGGGGACCATATCAACTTAACTGGCTGTGGCTGGGGATCATATCCACTTAACCGGCTGTGACTGTGGACCATATACACTTAACCAGCTGGTGCTGGGAACTATATCCAATTGACCATCTAGTGCTGGGGACCATATCTACTTAACCAGCTGGGGATAAGGACCATATTCGCTTTACCAGGTAGGACTGGGGACCATATCTAAACAGGCTAGGGCTGGGCACCATATGCATATAACCAGCTGGGATTGGGGATCATATCCACTTACCGGTAACCAACTGGGGGGACCATATCCACTTTACAGGCTGGATTTGGGACCATATCCACTTATCCAACTGGGGGGACCATATCCACCTTACAGGCTGGGTTGGGGACCATATGCACTTAACCAGCTGGGTCTTGGGGACATTTAGAAAGTTTTTTGGCCATTCTTTGCCACTTCCACTATGGATGAATTAAAATAACCATCTCACATAAGCTGAGGTTTAAATCTTCATTTTTAACAGTTATGGTTAACATGTTATAGTTTGATTTTTTATTGGTAAAACTTTATAGAACATTCTGTTAACACTGTAAAGAAGGAGGTATGATAAGGTCACCAATATTTGGAACCAAATATCAAATGCAGAAAAATTCTTCAGTCATTTCAAAATTTTGTTAATTTCTTTGACAAAAAGTAAGATATGATATCATTTGTGACATCATTTTAACATTATCAACACGGCAATATGCAAATATTTGACCTTAATGGTAATTTATACACAAAATGATAAAATAAAAAATGTGTAAAAGCCTTAACCCGAAAAAATTTTCAGTTACATAAATAACTTTGTACAAGTTAAGACATTATTGGTAAGTGCTTGATAAAATTATAATACTTCTTGATTTTCAAATTCATTGATCAAAAGATTGACTTTATCATCCTTTATTCTTTAAAGACTTATGTGATTTTTATATTATTGCAATTATAACTGGGAACTGGTAGCTTTATTTTAACCTAATATTTTCATTCCTTATACTGTGGATTCATTATTATTCGTTGGATACCAATTTTTTGGGTATAGATAGGTGAACCACGAATTCAAATGTTCAACGAATTACAAATTTTCTATAGGCTTTGTATGCAGACTTTGACAAAATCATGAAATCAAATATCCATAAAAATGCAAGTTTTCCTCAATCCACGAAAATAAATGAATCTACAGTACTTTGCATATTTCAGTAGGAAATTCAGGTTGCATTAATATATTTCATATTTCAGCCAAAACTATAATTCTCTTGAATAAGTGAATGGCGATAAAAAAAATATCAAAATTGGCAGTCAATACCAAATTTGAAGTTAAAGGGGAAAGTTAAAATTTGGTGTTGACTAAATTTTAGCCTTTTATTTTTAAATTTTGGTTTTGCATTACACAGCATTTGAAAATACCATTGAAATTTAATAATATGATTGATTATAAATCATTTAAAGTACATTGCAGGTGTTGTGTGCACAGAAAACAGACAAACGTCTTTCTCACAGTAATATTGAATAAGTTTCTTTTTTCCTTAATTAATTGATCAATGTGTTATTTAGGCTAAGGCTGCATGAAATTGTGACATGTTCAGTAACGTTAGTTTGAAATTCTGAACCCAACGTGCATGTCTTATGATCATTGAGATCCATTAAAGAATAAGTAATTGGATATTGTTTTCAGTTCACTGACCTAACTTCATCAGTGTCCAATATGACAGATAAAATTGTTAAGTATTTTTACATTATCTAATGTACAGTCAGTGTACCTACTCTGAAGGTGTAAAGGGGTGGGGTATACTGGTTTACCTCTTACCATCAGTCCTACGAAATTTTTATCAAATTGTTATGCTCCCGCTTTCACTCGAGGAGGCATTTATTGTTACCCATATCCGTAGGTTTGTTGGTCCCGAAATTGGTTTCTGTTCTCTAACTTTAGTTTGCCTCAACTAAATGTGATGAAACTTGTACACCGTGCTTATTACCACAAAACACAGATCAAGTTCAAATTTGGGTGGCGTCACTTTTACCATTCTCTGCTCCTTTATAATGTTAAATGCAAGTGGGGCATCATCTGTGTACCATGGACACATTCTCCATTTATTTTCAAACTACAAATCAGGGCTCTCCAAATTTTGGTTTCAAGCTTCATGTGAGGTCATGTGATGTGATATCACATTCAATCCTCTTTAATTCTGTTTATCAAATACTTGCATATTGCGATATCATTAGAGAGCCAAAGTAGAAACTTGTTCAATCTTACTGTGAACATGTAACATTATATAAATAACACATAGCTGAGAGGGTGATAGAGCAGATAGTTACCCCGAGAAAACATTGTCAACTGAGGCAAAGCCAAGGTTGACAATGTCTTTTGCGAGGAATAACAATCTGCTCTATCACCCTCTCAGATATGTGTTATTTAATTTATTATACTGAATGATCTGTTATTACTGTCTATTAAATTTCAAATTAAAAGAAATAAACTATGACGTCTTGTACATAACAACCATCTGTATTAAATAAAGCGCACACTTAATCAAGCGTCTCCTTGAAGGGTAATAGAGTATTTGCCATGGGATTGAGTAAATTATCTCCCTCGTATTAACTAACCATCTAGCATTTTGACACAAAGTATAATAAATTTTGTTCTTACCTCTAATCTAAGTGATATTTCAATGGTATTTCTAAACGCTGTGTATTTGTTGTTAAGCTTTATCCGTTGTGACATTTTGTTCTTACCTCTAATCTAAGTGATATTTCAATGGTATTTCTAAACACTGTGTATTTGTTGTTAAGCTTTATCCGTTGTGACATTTTGTTCTTACCTCTAATCTAAGTGATATTTCAATGGTATTTCTAAACACTGTGTATTTGTTGTTAAGCTTTATCCGTTGTGACTTTTTGTTTTTCCTTTCTATAGTGAGGACGAGCAATGTGATAGTGACTTAGAAAGTTTAACAGAGTGAGTTTTCATTTATTTTTCTTTTATTTTATTTTAACTGTCCTTTTTAAATAATATGTATTTATTTCTGTGTAAAGATAGCAAGAAGTAATATGTATTTTAGAATTCTAGCTAAAATTTGAATGGATTTACATTTTGTGTCTGTCCAAAGATTCAGTGGTTGTCCTTGATTGCTGTCTATAATATTTATTTATTATGTGTTTTGTATGTACTCATTGAGGCTGTTGTTTTTTTCGTACAATTGATTTACATTTTGTCATTTATAGCTTATATTACTATTAAGCTCATTGTTGAAGCCATACATTATTAGTTACAGTGTGTTAGTGACCTACGATATATATGGGGTCAGTAAATTCGAAACTATCACCCCATGTATTAGGTCACTAGCACTGTGTAACAAATTTATCTTACCGACTATCTTAACATGTGGCATTTAGACTAGTGGCCTATCAAAATAATTGAGTCTTCAATATTAAGAACCTACTTCCATTGGTCTATGCAAAAACAAATGCTAACCACTTGTAAGCTTTAATGTGTTTCCTGCATTTTTTCTCAGTCGTTCATCATCGTTGTTTGGGCAAAAACAATTCAGATTTTTCTTCAAAACATTATTTTTACAAAGGGACGTAACACTGCTACTAACCCAATATTAAAATAAAACATGCCCACTAACCCCATATTAAATATATATGGTCGCCATTTGATCGCATTTAACCAATGATATTCCTAGAAATGTATAAGAGGTAAGATAATGACCTACACAGTTGCTTGCGTCTACATCTTTTGGTCTTTGGTGGATAGTTGTCTCATTGTCAATCATACCACATCTCCTTATACTTAATATCAACAATTTACAGACTATAGGGGGAAAAGATATCAAACACTGACATAATTTGTTTGGCAAATTCTCATTGACCCTTTTTTCTAGACCATGCTGGCCTGGCAGACCCATTTTAAGATATATGTCAGTATTTCCAGTGTTCTCGAAAAGTGGTGGTCTTGTCTATCGACCACCAATAATCATGTAGGTCCTCTAATTTTAAGTGAAGTGGTAGTCCTGATGTCTAGCTAAAAGTGTATTGTTGTTACACTCTTTTTTTAGGCTTTATAATTTTGGTATAGTTCCTGATAATATTCTGTATCAATATGTGATAAGGACCATAAAATTATCCTGCTAATTGGCCTAATCTTTTTCATACCTACATGTACAGAAATAAATGGAAGCAAACATTTTCTACAAATAGAGGACCACCAGATCTTTTTTTTCATCTAAAAACCTCTTTATTGCTCATTTCTTTGTTGTTTTATGACAAATTTTCTACATAAGAAAATGCCTGTACCAAGTCAGGAATATGACAGTTGTTGTCCATTCGTTTGATGTGTTTGTGCTTTTGATTTTGCCATTTGATTAGGGACTTTCCGTTTTGGATTTTCCTCGGAGTTCAGTATTTTTGTGATTTAACTTTTTACTCGATCTACAGCAGTTGGCCGATTATCCCAGATACCACTATATCTGTAGTCTTGATTAAAAAAGATTTCTTGAACTCTGAATTATAGTATATATGGGCTATAAGTCAATGAAACAGCAACCCAACACAATAGAACCAAAAGACTTTTACTTTGTGTGATCAATGTCCTTGTGTGTATGAACAAACAGTATTATCACCCTTTGTTGACGTGATATATTTTATATTTTCAGTACCTCAACTCCTCTTGTCTGCTCACCAAGAATGGCTTCCCAGCATGCACCTAATGTAGGATCTACACCCATGCAAGGAACAGGGCTAGGATTAGCTTCGCTTCTGGGAGCAAGTGATCTCTTACCTCAAACACTGGACAGAGAAAACACTGATAAAACTGAAATAAACAAATCAGACTATACTACAGGTGGTACCTCAGGTTCTAACACAGGTCAAACACACAATTTGGATAAAAACTTCAGTGTCACAGACAATCGGAGGGTGAACTGTTCAACAGTGCCATCTGGTGACAGAAATATTTTTCACAACCATATGAAATCAGTGCCTTCAGATGTTCTTCATAATAGAAGTGAAACAGAAAATTTTATGTCCAAAATCAAAAACACTGGATCTTCTCTTTATGGTTTCCTTGGTAACTGGGGTCAAAGTTCACAAACTAGCACAGAAGTGACAACTGCCAACTCTGCTGCCAGTGGAACCTCACCTGTGTCCAATTTGACAGATAAAGCGACCAATGATAATTCATCAGGATCTAATGTGACGATTATATCTACCAATGACAAGTCGCCTACAAAGTCTTCCATGGTCTCATCCATATTTGGACAACGCGCTGGAGGAAGTGTACTTGGTGCACTGACATCTTTTCAGCGGAGCGGAATATTATGATATTTATGTGATTAAGTGATAAATAACCAATATGCATTTTATCTCGCCTGATCAAGGCCATGTAATATTTATTAATTGTAAAATATTCTGTCATCCAATGTTTTTTAAGTTTTGATATGGTTGTGGTTTATTCTAATAATTTCTTCATAGATCTTGAAACTTTTAAACAGAAAAAGATTTTTTGCTTTAATCTTCACAATATTTTCTGACGTTTCACTTTATTCATGCCATAATAACCAGCTATTTTTTTTCCTTTTAGAATTTAGAAATCTTCCATTCAGAATTTGTAAAATGTTACGTTTTGAAATATCCTAATCATGATTTTTTAATGAGTTAATTTTTGAAGAAATTTGCACAATAATTTGACTTCTAAAAAGACAAGAATTTTCGAGAAAAAAAATTATGACAAAAATTCAGCTTATTTCAGATTTCAAACTTACAAATTTAAAGTGGTGTAGTTACCTCCAAACATTTATTTTTCTGATAGCCATACTGACACAAATCTGTTCATATTTTTGTTGGATTGTAAAATAAATGGCAAAAGTTGCCTAAGATTCAAATTGAAACTAGCCTAGTGGGCCCCAGGTTTATAAACAGGATTGTGTAACAAGTACTAGTCTTTCAATATGCATTTGTAATTTATACAACTGTATATCAGTGCTTTTTGTTAATATATATATTGTGGTTTTCTTACATATGAACAATGATGAATACATCTTAGGTCACAGTTATACTTTCTACATGTATTAGAAAAGAGAGGAATTCCGTTCAAATGGATGTGGGAATAAAGGAAAGGATTTCAAAAAATGCCTAATCCATCTAAACAACCAACATACTTGTTTTAAGTGGTTTTACATATGTTTATCATGCAACCATGAATTTAAATTACACACAACTCATTCAAAACTGAAATTAGAATTTGGTCTGTTTAAATTCAACACCCAACATATTAAATATCTGAATTCACCAAAATGTGTTCAAAGTAAATACATTGTTCTACAATTTAAAAAGGTTAACCAGATTTTTTAAGGACGACTATTAAGGGGTTACAGGACACCTAAGGGAGTTAACTCTTTAAAAATCAACTGAACGTTTTAATCACATTCTAATAATTAGGAGAATTTAAGCTTCTCAATGATCAAAATTAGTGATTGTCAAACTGCTATATATATATTCAATGAAATTATTCCCATAAATTGTGTGGTACAAATTTCTTAAAATTTTAATATTTTTGTCAACAAGTCAAAGTAAATACTTCCTCAAAATTGTATGAAAATTAAACAAGCCAACTCTTATTTTAGTCAAAGTGTTGATTACCCTCTTAAGTTGCATGCTAAAGATTCTCCCCTCCATGTAGAAACTATATTGTTATTGATGACTAGTATTACAATGTGTAACTTTACATATTCAGTTATGAAAGGTTTTGTACTTTTGGGGGATTTTTTTACTGCAACAATTTTGTAGATTTATAGTTAAGTCATAAGTGGGTTTGAAAATAAAAATTGACTATTTGTATATCATTTAGACAAATTTGTTATCTCTTTGTATGGTCAAAATAGCAAAGTTTTTATTGGATTCATTTTTTTCAGCGAAAATTTGTGAATTCATTATTTTTTCATGTTTTTCTCGTGAGAAGATTTGAGAATCTGAAGTTTTACAGGGATTTTTTATTTGCTTCTTGTTTTTAATTAAAGAAGTTTTCGTTCATATTTGTAAAATAATTCTTATTTAGGTATTTGCATTGATATCAAAACCTATGCCTAGTAGTCAAATTCTCATAGGTGCTTAAAATGGTATGGTAGAAAATATAAATTTATAAAATTGTAAATACTAATTGTTTTGTACATAAAGTAGGCATATTTAAATATATGTAAATTAAAGATGTGCTATATTTAGATATATTTATATTCTAGTGCTTTTAATTGGGCATTTTTTTTTTTATTCCTTCTTTTTCTTTTCCTTTTTCCTTGCTTCCTTGCCTATTTAGACTTTTTGGAGTAGAATTATTATTCTTAAATGCATTCATAAGTTTCACAGAAACTATCCAGCTATCTAAGAATACAGCTTCACACATTCTGCTTATACATTTAGTTGCTCAAGGTTTAAGAAGTATTAATAAGGATTTTGTAACTGTTAAACTGTAAAAATGGATATTTCTTTTAAAAAATGTTGTCATTGTAATTAGTAACTTCATACCAGCATATTCACATAGTTCAATTATTTTGAATTACATTGGATAAACCAGTTAATTCATAATTTCGTGAGAGAATTAATTTCTTGTGAATTTTGTAAGTACAAATATATTCTCTTTCCTTATATGAATGCATAAACAACATTTGAAAATTGTGCTAATAAATCATAGTGATAATGACTTCAAAAAATGAATGGCTAGAAAAAAGTTCTGCAATTTAGCGTTGATTCGTAATTTTATGAAAGAATGAATTACTTGAATTTTGCGATTACAAAAATAACTCTTAATATATATATTTTTTATATATATATATATATATGACAAATGTTTATTTTTTCTCACATGAATACATTAACAACATTTGAAATCATGGTAATATTGACTTCAACAAAGTGATTGTCAAGAAAAAAATTCTGCAATAAGAATTTGGTATTCAGTATACGTGGTATATGATTTCAATATTTTAAATAGATAGTTTCATTACAACATTATACCAAACAATCTGGTGGATGTCACAAATCAGGAACGACTATGAGCTATTTTTAAATATTTTACACAAACTCATTTTTATGTATAGGATATTTCATGCTTTTATGTTTTGCCGTCATCTTTTGTATCTATGCAAGCCAAACACATTATGAATTTCAGGTGAAGGATTCTTGTAAATTCCCAGTGTAAATTCAGTCATTATTAGCAAATACCAAAATTACAAAATTTTTAACAACTCCTTGCACATGGTTTTTGGCTTAGTTTATTTCTATTGAGTTGTTTTAAAATTCTAATTAATGAGCTTTTTTAATTGTTATTAATAGTTTAAATGAAAATAAGAAATATATTTCTTTCTTTAGAGCCAGATTTTCACACCAAAGGACTCCATACTTTTAAATTTTCAGTCCAACATTTTAATCATAAGTTTTATCGTAGAATTTTTCAGGAAAACTGAAATTAGAGGGTTAAATAATTAAAATGTAGAGTTAACAAGTAAACCATCTTGAATTTTCATGGTATTCACCTGATACTAAATCTAAATTTAACCTCAGTTTTTTAAAATATTGAATGAAAAAGGTTAAACTCGTTTTTCCAAAGCATTGTACATTGTGCAAGTATTATTATGAAAGTTAAGAAATGTTAAGCCGTCTGTCCAACCAATTGAACCTACAGGTTAGGACTCGTGCATACCAACAATTGACTCACTCTGTGTCCACTCAATGGCCAGCAGATTAATTATCACATGAGTTTTCCTGATAGAGGGCTAAATCATCAAAGATAGCTTTAATAAAAGTATTGCTAGCATTAAGGTAACATTATTTTAATTATTCCAGCTTTGGAATCCTAGGATTTAGCAACGTTAGTTTGTTTTTCTTCATTTATCATTTCCCTAATTGTAGATATTTATATTTTGTGTGTTTTTATTTTCCATTGTTAAGTTTTATGTTGTTTTTGTTTTGTTTTTGGTGCTTATTCACTAGAAACAATCAGAACTTATATCATGATGATATTAAAACAAAATAAATTAAATCTGTGTTTTAGTTTATGTTGCCATGGCAAACTGTTATAAATATACTGTTACATGTATATCATTAACGGTAGCAATCTTACTGCAACTGTCTTCAGTTTTGGGTGAGGCCAAAAAAAGGTCTGGAACTTTCTCTTCAAATGATCAGTCATTCTGAAAATGCATGAAACATTTGCCGATGGACATTAAGTAAGCAATAACTTATCAATCAAATGATATGCCAATATTGAAATCTACACAAATTCAACACTGGAAAAATAATTTGTTTTACAATTGGATGAGATCTGTTGTAAATAAATTTAAAAAAACAAAAAGAGTGCATTATACGGCATCCCAACAAACATTAAAACTTGAAAAGAAATCTTAGAGGTGCTCTATTTTCATCTTCCTTTTTATAAATATCACTTATTATGAGTAATATGTTAACTCTATCTGGTATATGGATTACTTGCAATGTCTACATGTCTGTCAGACAGAGTTCACCTGACCTTGACCCCATTTCATGGATCAGTGATTAAGGTTAAAGTTATTTGATTAGGTCAACTATGATGGTGCTAAGAATGATTGTAAGGCGTACATGTCTGTCTGTAATGTATCATATGACCTTGACTTCATTTTCACGGTTCATTGGTCAATAGTAAGTTTTCACGGTTTGGTTTGCTTCTTTGATACTATAAGCAAAAGATCAACTATATTTAGTGTATGTAATGATTTTAAATTGTTCATGTCTGTCTGCCCTGGTTTATCTGTCTGTGACCTTATTTTCATCAATTGATAATGTTAAGTTCATGTGATACTTTTAATAAAACTTTTATTTTCAAAACTGTCAACATTAAAACAATAAGGTTTAGTAAAGCAGGTGGGACATTTCAGCCTGCACACTCTTGTATAAAATACACGACAAACATCAACTCTTGAATAAAATCTTTTTTTTTGAAACCAGCAGCAGTAAACACTGCAGAGCTGTTGTTCCTAGTAAATACTGCAGAGCTGCTGTTGCTAGTAAATACTGCAGAGCTGTTGTTCCTAAGTAAATACTGTAAAGCTTTTGTTCCTAGTAAATACTGCAGAGCTGTTGTTCCTAGTATATACTGTAAAGCTGTTGTTCTTAGTAAATACTGCAGGGCTGTTGTTCCTAGTAAATACTGCAAAGCTGTTGTTCCTAGTAAGTACTGCAGAGCTGTTGTTCCTTGTAAATACTGTAAAGCTGTTGTTCCTAGTAAATAGTGTGAAGCTATTAGTCTTAGTAAATACTGCAAACCTGTTGTTCCTAGTAATAAAGCTGTTGTTCCTAGTAAATACTGCAAAGCTGTTGTTCCTAGTAAGTACTGTAAAGCTGTTGTTCCTAGTAAATACTGCAGAGCTGTTGTTCCTATTAAATACTGCAGAGCTATTGTTCCTTGTAGATACTCTAAAGCTGTTGTTCCAAGTAAATAGTGTGAAGCTATTGTTCTAGTAAATACTGCAAAGCTGTTGGTCCTTGTAAATACTGTAAAGCTGTTGTTCCTAGTAAAAACTGCAAAGCTGTTGTTCCTCATAAATACTGCAGAGCTGGTGTTCCTAGGAAATACTGCAGAGATGTTGTTCTTAGTAAATACTGCAAATCTGTTGTTACTAGTAAATACTGTAAAGCTGATGTTCCTTGTAAATAATGTAAAGGTATTGTTCCCAGTAAATACTGCAAAGCTGATGTTCTAGTAAATACTGTAAAGCTGTTGTTCCTAGTAAATACTGCAAAGCTGATGTTCCTAGTAAATACTGTAAAGCTGTTGTTCCTAGTAAATACTGTAAAGCTAATGTTCCTTGTAAATAATGTAAAGGTGTTGTTCCCAGTAAATACGGTAAAGCTGTTGTTCCCTGTAAATACTGTAGAGCTGTTGTTCCTAGTAAATATTCTAAAGCTATTGTTCCTTGTAAATACTGTAAAGCTGTTGTTCCTTGTAAATACTGCAGAGCTGTTGTTCCTTGTAAATACTGTAAAGCTGTTGTTCCTTGTAAATACTGCAGAGCTGTTGTTCCTTGTAAATACTGTAAAGCTGTTGTTCCTAGTAAATACTGCAGAGTTGTTGTTCCTAGTAAATACTGTAAAGCTGATGGTTACCAAATGTATATTGTAGACCATAATTACTATACTCCTTTGAAATATTGTTATATTAATAAAAGTAATTCATAAGAAGCTGATGGAATACTTTATAGATATTAAAATTGCGAATGGAAACGAAGAATGTGTCAGAGAGACAACAACCCGGCCAAAGATCAGAAAACAGCCTAAATCCACCAATGGGTCTTCAACGCAGTGAGAAAATGGCGCACCCAGAGGCGGGCTTCACCGAGTTGGCCCCTAGACAAAAATGTATACTAGTTCAGCGAAATGGACACCACACTAAACTCTGAGACTAACAAAGGCTAGAGGTTCCTGACTTGGGACAGGCGCATAAATGCGGCGTGGTTAAACATTTTTTGTGAGATCTCAACTCTCCCTTATACGATCTTAAACCTCTAGCTATACCTTTAGACAATGTAGAATAAACAAGTACAACGCAATACGCACAGTATAACTGAATATATTAAACAGATCTTGACGTCGCGGCCATAAATTTTCATAAATAGCAAAATACAAAATGACCCATGCATATAAAGCCCGCCTCCGGGTGCGGGATTTTTTTTTCCGCCACATTGCAGACCCATTGGTGTCCTTGGGCTGCTTTCTGCTCTTCGGTCAGGTTGTTGTGTCTAAAACTTTCCCCGTTACCATTCTTAATTTTACTATTTAATATTTATAAAGTGTTCCACCAGATTCTTATGAATTACTTTAAATTCTCAATATCAACAAATCCTTTAAACTTATTACAACGATTCTGTCCGAATAACTTGACAGATTTTTTTTTCAATCTGTACTTGATGAACATGCAATAAACCCATTTTAGCCTAGGTACCCCCCATAAACCTGGAGATATCATATCTAGTTACCCTTTATTTACCCTTTACTTAAGGAATGACTGTAATATTTTTTCTGTCTATGAAGAAATAACATAAAAAATGTGGTGAGGGGGGGGGTAGGACCTTTATCGGGACTCTGGGATCGGGTGTTTTTAAGCTCGTGATTCCGGGATTGATCCTTTCGGGATCCGGGATTTCTTTTTTCGAATTTCGGGATGTCGGGATTTAAGTTTTTTTAAATTCGGGACCTCGGGATTCCATGTTTTTAAGCCCGGGATTTCGGGATCAGCCCCCCCCCCCCCCCCCCCCCCCCCCCCCTCTGTGGTGCACACTGAATAACCCGCGTAGCGGGTTATTTAAAAGTGTGCACCACATTTTTTATGTTATTTCGAATAGACAGAAAAAATATTAGTCATTTCTTATAATTTAATCCTAAATTCAATTTTAGACCTGAGTAAACCATGAAAAAACGTTGATGACGTCACGGTCACATGACAAAATTATGTCTATGAGCTGATAAACAAAACAACGTCAGCCAATCAGAAGACGCGTTACATCCCAAATAATAAATTATTTCGTAAGAAACACATTCTGTCATTGTTCTAGTGGAGAAAGTATTACAGTATATTTCTTCCATATAGAACTTATATTACTCTAATAAAATAGATAATGGAAACGGGGAATGGGTCAAAGAGACATCAACCCGACCAAAGAGCAGAAAACAGCCCAAAGCCACCAATGGGTCTTCAATGCAGCGAGAAAATTCCGCACCCCGAGGCAGGATCCAGCTGGCCCCTAAACAAAAATTTGTACTAGTTCAGCGAAAATGGAAGTCACACTAAACTCCGAAACATATAAATGAACCAAAATAAAAAAGAAGATCTAGACTAACAAAGGTCAGAGACTCCTGACTTAGGACAGGCGCAAACATGCGGCAGGGTTAAACCTGTTTTGTGAGATTTCGACCCCCCTTTTATACCTCTAGCCAATGTAGAATAAACAAACACACAGCAATACACACAGTAAATCTCGGTTTTAAAGAAGTCCGAGTCCGATGTTAGAATAGGTAACAGAAGAAACTAAGCCAAATGGCAATGATACATATAAATTAACAAAGGACTAAACTAGCAGTTACTGACATGCCAGCTCCAACCGTCAATTAAACTGATTGAAATATTATGTCTTCATCATATGGAAATCAAGCACAATCCCTCCCGTTAGGGGTTTAGTGTCATACCATCATGAAATTTACGAGAGGAACAAAACCCTTATCATGCCAACAACTGCTTTTAGAATAAATGTGTTTATTTCCGATGCAAAGACCCTATGAGTGAATCAATATTAATTCCAAAAAATGCCATCTTCAGTGACTTGACAACAGTATCGTAACTATATCCCTTCTGAATAAGTCTGTTTACAGGTTTGGTTAGCTTTTGAGGTGAATGACGACATTTTCGTGCTAATATGAATAAGAAGATGTGGTATGAGTGCCAATGAGACAACTCTCCATCCAAGTCACAATGTATAAAAAGTATCAATTACAGGTCAAAGCGGTCTCACTAATTAGCGACAACAAGAATTTTAGCGACAAGAAGCGACAACAAGAATTATTTTAGCGACAAGAAGCGACAAGAAACTATTTAGCGACAAGAAAACATATTTTTTTTAATTAAAATTAATTATTGCAATAAATATTAAAAGAATATGCAAAAGAAAATAATTTTAGCGACAAGAAAGTTAAAATTGATAGAAAAAAATGAAACATTATTTACATAATATTTTATCATCTATTATGTATAACAGCCAGTATTACGTTTAATTATTGTATTATGAGATTACTTTTCCTTGTGTTTTAGAACATATTATTTATCTTATAATTTGTTTTTTAAAACTCTTTTCGTGCAATATATATTAAGCTCGCAAAATGAATTATTTGTGCATCATTGTCCTGAAAATATTGACACAAATTGTGAAATACAAAGAACTGAAATCAAACAAGAGGAAACTTGAAGAAAATTGAAATGTGAATGTTTTCATCTTTTTATTTGTTTATTGCCTCATTAAACGATATTTATCATGTTTATGCATATTGATTGAAGATGAAAGGAAATTAATGACAATCTTGAGTTTTCAACAGGTGTTCACTATTTACAATGATTGTATATTCTGGCGCGTGTAATTGTATAGTCTGACGCGTGTACAAAGTTGAAGGTGTTAATTGGATGTTATTGTAGCAATAAAACAGGGGACACGCGCCTCGTTAATCTCATTTGATGTTCCACATTGTGTGTACTGTTATTACCTTAGGGTGAAGCCACATCTAATGTTGTTCCTATCAAGTAAACCATTATAGGTCAAAGTACGGCCTTCAATACTGAGCCTTGGCTCACACCGAACGGCAAGCTATAAAGGACCCCAAAATGACTAGTGTAAAACAATTCAAACAGGAAAACCAACGGTCTAATATATTTAAAAAAAAAACAGAAACGAGAAACATCTATCATGAACCACGCCAACAAAAGACAACTATTTAATAATGCATATATTCTACCATATATAGACTATTGCAGTTCAGTTTGGGGAAATTTATTACAAAAAGATTCAGATAGAATCATAAAACTTCAAAAAAGAGTAGCAAGAATTATACTTGAATGCGATATTTCTGTTCCATCTAATTTTATGTTTTCATCTTTAAAATGGCTATATCTTTTACAAAAAGAATAAAATACCAACAATCAATTCTAATGTATAAAATTGTAAATGGACTAACACCTGATTACTTAGCAATGCTAAATATTAATGATATGCAACACCACAACTTACGATCTGTCTCTAATAATGATCTTTTTGTTCCAAGACCAAATACAAATTTTTATAAAAAATCTTTTCATTATTCTGCAACAAAGGTATGGAATAATTTACCACTCAAAATAAAAAATTGTCGAAATGTGGAATTATTTAAGAAACATTGTTATAATCATTTTCTTGAAAATTCTACGCAAGTCGAATAATTTGTTTTCTTTCTTTTGTTGTAAGAATAAGAAAATTTAATCGAAACTTTACCAATTATTGCCATTTATTGCCATTTGTATGTTTGAATGATTGAATTATGTATATACTAGTAATATACATTGTATTTTAATGTATGAATGTATAAATGTTAACTGTATATAGATATTAGAAGATGTGGTATGAGTGCCAATGAGACAACTCTCCATCCAAGTCAAAATTTATAAAAGTAAACCATTATAGGTCACAGTACGGTCTTCAACACGGAGTCTTGGCTCACACCGAACAGTAAGCTATAAATGGCCCCAAAAAATTACTAGTGTAAAACCTCCAAACGGGAAAACCAACGGTCTAATCTATATAAAAAACGAGAAACGAGAAACATGTATTTTGTTTGAGGGCCTCAATGAAAATTAGACTACTTCTAATTGAGTTACCCTCTTTAAATAAAGAATCTATTATTATTACTATTATTACTGAAACAGGCTCCTGACTAAGGACAGGTGCATAAAAATGCAGCGGGTTTAAATGTTTTAAGAGGCGCCAACCTTCACCCTAACCTGAGACAGTAGTGCAACATTACAACATAAAAAGACACACTATAAAATATCAAAGGATTAAGTCGATCAAAAAGACATTTAAACAAAAACAAGTAAACATACAACGAAGGACTGAGTTGCTGTATTATGTGTATATCATATTTGTTTTTCGTTTATTGTTTATTGTTTTGTCATTTCGGGCCTTTAATGGCTTGGTAGTATGGGTTTTGTTAATTGCCGAAGGCCGCGGTGACTTTTAGTTGTTAACTTCTACGTCAGTTTGGTCATTGTGGAGAGTTGTCTCATTGGCAACAATACCACATCTTCTTATTTTTGTCACAGATGATTTATTCCTATCGTTTTCGCATTCATTTATTTCACAATCATAATCATGTTTGTTTCATATACTAGTTTTATTTCATAAATTCATATATCATGTATACGTTCATATTCAGGAGTTCATCCGATTTCATATTCCATTTGACCTGACCTGACATGACATGACATGACATGACCTGGAATGACTTGAAGTTCGCTTTATACATGTACTATAAACATTTAATGTATGTACGAGTAAGTTTTCGGCCGGCATACTTTCACCCGCGGAAAGATTTTAAGTTGTAATTTGAAAGGTACTAACTGGTCACTATTACTCGGTTTGGTTCATTAGTCGATGTATAACGTCGTTGATTTAAAACTACGATTTTTTCATTTTGCATTACTTTTGGTACTTGGGGACAGGACATTTTTTAGCACTCCCCTTTTTTTCAAAATCCGTTATTTGTTTGTTTTCATAAATTAATAAAAGGGGGGGGGGGGCTAAAAAAAACTTGTCCTGTCCCCAAGTACCTTTGACACTTTCCGGTATTTATGATATAATTTATATTTGGCTTTCGGAGGTTTTTGTTTCAATTTGGATAAAGTATATAGTTGCCATTTATATTTGCGTCATGACATTAAATAATTCGACCTGTTGTTTATGAGTCTTAAATGTTATATTTTCAGGTGCTATTTTTAATTAATTAAAAATATATAATTGGCGACTGAAGATTAAAGAAATAGACTTTATACTGTTCGAATTATTTCGGTTCTTTACATTTAGCTAATGATACAACTTGTTATGATTTTTATAACATAACAATGAATTTTGATTGGTTCCTTTATAGACTTGTGATTTAAAGGAATTAAAGTTTTTCATTCTGCCGTTGATAGCCGAAAACTAACCCTCCCATTATTTATCCCACCCAATATTTATGATCAGTAGTTTCATTCTCATTTTCTGTGGAAGTTTTATTTTTCAGCGTATGTTCCTTGCTGATTTGTTACTGTGGATAGACGAATTTACAATGTAATTGAGTGATTAAAGGACGATCGAGCAACTTAGTTTATACCTGATAATTTGGATTCGGATTATTTCGTAATGGATTCAGACATTTCAGATTTATTGTTACCCGCTGGATATAGACGTGTGAGCAAAGTGTTGTTGATAAATGGTGCTGAACATTGATTGAATTAACTTTAACGTCTATTATTGTTTTTTCATATGAAATTGTAATAATTTTGCCAAAATTAAATGTTTTATTTTAATTCGCTTTAATCATTTCTTAGCATTTAATTAGTATTGCTTTGCATCCATGGTTTATATATCTGCGTCTATTTACTTCGTAAGAGCAAATTAAATAAAATTATGTTCGCCTATCACTAGTATTAAAGCAGTTGTAAAGCCATTTCATAAACAAGAGTGTCAATTTCTAACTATGACGGGTTCATATTCTATTTCATGACAGGCCGAGTTGTCCTAACGTTGTTACGGGTGGAGTATGGTCCGAGTTGTCATCATTTGTCCAAAATTCAAATCCTTTCGTTCTTTTATTTTCATGTTGAAGTCAGAGTATTGGCTTGTAATAAAACCATTTTTTCATTACAGATTGTTTTAATCTAGCAAATTTTCTTTAACAATTCAAATTTGAATGTTATCCTTTGAAAGTGAAATGGATACGAATATTTCCTGGTCCGTGTTTAGGTCTTTAGTGTAACCCTCATTGGGGTCGATCTTTTCAGGTAATATCTGGTTACTATTTTTCATATTTTGTAGATGTATTTATGAACATATTTATACTCGTTTAGAAGGTTAGTCAAATATACAAATAAAGATGAACAATACATAGTATATTTAGAGGTGTTCGGTTCTTTGCGGTGGTATACAGACAAACCGGTCTCATTGTGGTAAGAGTCTGACATGAGCAGTAAAAAAAACTTGTTTTAAAAATCAAATTAATTCATAAAAGTAGGTAAAATTGTCGATCGCATACCAGTCAAACACCCAACAGTATTATTCAAACAAATTGTGCTGTAGAAGTGTATTTGTGTATATTGGGGATCTGACACCAACGCGGAAGTAGGAAAACTCCCAATTTTTTTTTTATAAAACTTAAAAGTTTTTAAAATTTAATTAAAGTAATATCTCTGGAACCGTTCAATATAATAATAAAAGTTGGAACGCATTTAAAGCTGATGAGCTACAGTGGCGGATCCAGTTTTTTTTTTTGGGGGGGGGGGGAGTTGGACATGTTGGAAGTTCCCTGACCCCCCTTTTTTACGATCAATGCTTTTGAATGGGTACGTATGCAAGGGCCGTCACATTCCCCATTTACTATTCAAACTGTTGTAACATTATATTATTAAAAGACTCTTTTCAAGTTGAAACTTGGCCACAATCATCATTAGGGCAAGGATTTGTATACTATACAAATCCTTGATTAGGGTATCTAGTTTAGAAAATGTGTCCAATGACACCCGCCTGCCAACCACCATGGCAGACATGGCTAAAAATAGAACATAGGGGTAAAATGCAGTTTTTGGCTTATATCTCTTGAAACTAAAGCATTTACTGATTTAGAGCAAATCTGACATTGGGTAAAAATGTTCATTAGGTTTAAATCTATCTGCACTGAAATTTTCAGATGAATCAGACAATCCCTTGTTGGGTTGCTGCCCCTGAATTGGTAATTTCAAGGAAATTTTGCTGTTTTTGGTTCTTATCTTAAATATTATTATAGATCGAGATAAACTGTAAAAAGCAATAATGTTCAGCAAAGTACGATCTACAAATAAGTCAATTTGACCAAAATTGTCAATTGACCCCTTAAGGAGTTATTGCCCTTTATAGTAAATTTTTCATAAATTTTACAAAAATCTTCTCCACTTAACCTACTGGGCAAAATAGAATTAAACTTAGTCACAATTTTCAATATGGTATCTTGATTGACAAATGTATCCGATGACCCTGGCCACAGACCACAATTAAATTCTCTATTAGTTCTTTATAACGTTTTGTTTCATTAAAAAAAATGCTCCGGTTCTTTTTGTCAAATATTTTGTGTGTGTAAAGTACAGTACTAGTCCAAACATATATCAAACATTCAGAAATATCGCTCCCCAGCATCTTACAAATTTAGCCAATACACATCCATACCCCTATGGACAAGTCAAGAGATGTTCCGAAAACTGTAAATATCACCTTTTTGCACCTGGCCTAATTACTCTTTCCATATCAAAATCAGTTAAAATACAACATCCAAAAGTTTATTTCACCTCTCTTCTTTCATTTCCATCCAAAAAAATCTAAGAAATGAGTGAGGAAGGGAAAGAAAAAAAATTAAGAAAAAATACACTCTAATTAAAAGGAACTATATTCGTGGACAACGAAAAGCGGGATCATTAATTGTGGTCTTTGGCCTATTAGGGGTCTAAACCTTGACCAATTCTAATAAAACTTGGTATGATTTAAGCTTAGTATATTATGAAACAGTTTACAAAGTTTCAAAGCCATATGATACCAATTATAAAAATTGTGGCATTTTTTATATCTGAACTTTGGGTGCTGAATTGTGGCGTTGAATTAGAATAATTCCAACTATCAAATTTGGGCTTCTAAAAACCAAAATATACCAAAACTTACACTTTTTAATGTCTCTATGTATAAGTTATCACCTATTAAAAGCAACAGATAGCATACTTCATGTTTCAGACTTATAAAAAATGGCCAGAAGTAAATATCATATGGGCCTGTGCCAAAAAATAGAGGTTTTCAAATGAAGTGAGGCCTTATATGCAATGTAATATTTTTCACTTACCACAATTTTCTGAAGTTGCTAAGTTATAAAAAAACCTTTTACATGTTATAAATGTACTTTTAATGGAAATATAAGTTTCAAATAGCATAACACATGTGAATAAAATGGTCTTCAGCAATGTCAAGCTTAAAAAAACAGGTTGTCAATTTAGGTCTTTCCCCACATTTGCATATTAAAAAGCATATAAATGATATGGGAGATGAAGATATGCTTCTTTTTGCTCAAATCTTTGCTCAGATATGATAAAACATGGAGCCTGGATGTAACAAGACTGTCACTTTCAACTATATATGTAGACAGTATGATCTAATGCAAAGTTATTTACTTTACTTTTTAAAACCGGCATGAAATTTCAGCCTCAAAAGGCCAATATTTTAACCACTAGCTATCAAACAAAAGAAAATAAAGGTAGTCTGTGAAACAGACAAGGTCAAACAACCAGTAATAAGTGCTTTTGATACAGTTTCAGTGAAATCTGCTAAAAGGAATTCAACTTGTATGTGCATAGAACCTCATTTTTCACTTGCTTCATACTGACCGTTAGACTAGGACCATTAAAGCAGCACATTTTGCACTCTTATTCTGATTTTATCTACTTTTTTTGTATGTTTAGTGTTCAAAAATGAGTTAAACATCTACATTAGATACCACAAACACAAGTAGAAAATCAAGAAAAACCTGTGAGAGAGAAAGTAAGCATGCTACTTTTGTAAAAATATTGAAACAACTGAAAAAGTTCAATTTTGGGCATGTAGGCTGAAATGTCACTTTTTTACAAAATTTCTATCAAATAAAAGTGGAAATCATTTATTCTCATGTAGTTTGACAAATTAATACCAATAGATCATTCAGGGAAGTTGTCAAAGTACAAATTCAATATTTCCTGAATTTCACCTCTTAGGCCACAGACCACAATTAAATTCTCTATTAGTTCTTTATAACGTTTTGTTTCATTAAAAAAAATGCTCCGGTTCTTTTTGTCAAATATTTTGTGTGTGTAAAGTACAGTACTAGTCCAAACATATATCAAACATTCAGAAATATCGCTCCCCAGCATCTTACAAATTTAGCCAATACACATCCATACCCCTATGGACAAGTCAAGAGATGTTCCGAAAACTGTAAATATCACCTTTTTGCACCTGGCCTAATTACTCTTTCCATATCAAAATCAGTTAAAATACAACATCCAAAAGTTTATTTCACCTCTCTTCTTTCATTTCCATCCAAAAAAATCTAAGAAATGAGTGAGGAAGGGAAAGAAAAAAAATTAAGAAAAAATACACTCTAATTAAAAGGAACTATATTCGTGGACAACGAAAAGCGGGATCATTAATTGTGGTCTTTGGCCTATCCCTGTCATCCAACCAACATGGCGGCCTGACATGGCTAAAAATAGAACATAGGGGCTAAATTGCAATCCTGGTATCTATGATGAGTTTATTTACTAGAGAAGTCTAAGGGAAAATTGTTAAAAAAACAATTTCAAATGGTCACAACTTGAAAACTTATTTAAATAATGATAAGGGGTCTTCAGTAACTATTGTAAGACTACAATGGGATGACCTGCTTTTAATTTAACTACTGGGCCAAATTACACCAAACTTGGCCTCAATCATTATTATGGTATCTTATACTATTAGTTATGATTTTAACCTTATTTTACATGATTTCCAATACAACAGTAGATACAGGTGAGAGACACAGGCTCTTGAGAGCCTTTAGTTTCATCATTTCTTGAATTTGTGTGCCAAACATTTTAGCTTGGCTGTTTTAAAGATGTCATCGTCATATAACCTCATAAAAAAGGGGGGTGGGGGTAGTGTGCATTTACAAACATGACATCAATGGTCTTTCGCGATGAATAAAAGATAAAAAAAACTTATCCAAATGGATGATAAAAAAATCAATAGTGTTTTCTGAATTTGATCAATATAGTTTCCTGTCCTCTTTACATGGTGTAATTCTTTTATACATGTTATATAAGGATGAACAATGAGGAAAAACTAGCATAAATCACAAAAATATGGACTTGGTGGCAATTGCCATTGTACAGCTCTTGTTAAGGTTACACAAGTGCTTATTATAATGTGTCTGAAATCAAACAAAGGGAAGAGTGTGAGGTTCATTGTTTTTTTATTACCTCAAAACTGAGATCAAGTTTGAATTTGGGTGGCATCACGTTTTCCTTTCTGGAGTTATGCCCCTTCATAAATGGAAAAAATGCTGAATTTTTCATTTCTGTTCTCTAACTTTAGTTTGCCTTAATCAAATGTTATGAAAAAAATGAAAACACGATATAACTTTCATGCGTCCGAAGCTTTTTCTAGATTTACCTTCATCAGGAACGCTCAAAGCTGAATATTTAAAAGCCAAGGATGTATAAGGACCAAACACGTATACTTATACACAAAATATATGCTGATTACCACAAAACACAGATCAAGTTGGATTTTAAGTGATGTCACTTTTCCAGTTCTCTAGTTATGCGCCTTTATATAATTATTAATGTTATATGCAAGCAGGGGCATCACCTGTGTACCATGGACACATTCTAAATTTCTTTCTTTATTGAATCAACTAGTTGTTTCAGGTAAAATTTATTTGGTCTTATTGATGCCATTGGAATAGTCCTCCTACCATCCTGTACCACTGTTCCACATTGTTATTAAAGATTTTCTTCATTTATTTAGGTAAGTGCTGGTATAATATGTTATATACTTCAATGAATAAGTTAAATAAGAATTGATAGATGGCTGCACTCTCTTTTGCATCTAGATATTTGCTCTTACTCCTAAATACCTTCTGCTTGTGGAGAAGCAGCAAATACCAATTTTAAAGCTCAAACACATCAAACAAATGGAAAACAACTGTCATATTCCTAACTTGGTAAAGTAGTGTAAAAGTATAAGTCTTTTCTGAATTTGGTCATTTTAGTTTTCTGTCCTCTGTACATTGTGTAAATTTTTTATATAAGGATGGAAACTAGCGTAAATCACAAAAATAACAACTCTGCAACAATTCCCTTTGTTCATGTACTGCTCTTGTGCTTTGATTGTTGTAAGGTTACACAAGGAGTCCAATGGTTATTATAACGTGTCTGAAATCAAACAAATGGAAGAGTGTGCTGTTCAAAAATGTTTTTTTATTCAATCAAATATTTGTTTCAGGCAAAATTAATTTGGTCCTGTTGGTGCCATTGGAAAAGTCCTACTACCATCCTGTACCATTGTTCCACATTGTCATTAAAAAATTTCCTTTGTTGGAAAAAATATTGAATTTTTCGTTTTTGTTCTCTAACTTTAGTTTACCTAAACTGAATGTTATGAAACTTGTACACTATGCTTATTACCACAAAACAGAGATCATGTTGGATTTTAAGTGATGTCACTTTTACAGTTCTCTAGTTATGTTCCTTTATAATGTTATATGCAAGCAGGGGCATCATCTGTGTCCCATGGTCACATTCTTAATTTATTTCTTTATTGAATCAACTAGTTGTTTCAGGTAATATTAGTTTGGTCTTGTTGATGCCATTGGAAAAGTCCTTCTACCATCTTGTACCATTGTTCCACATTGTCATCAAAGGATTTCCTTCAGTGATTTAGGTAAGTGTTGTAATAATATGTTATATACTTCAATAAATAAGTTAATTAAGAATTGATAAGTGGCTGCACTCTCTGTTGCATCTAGATATTTGCTCTTACACCTAAATGCCTCCTGCGTTGTGGAGAAGCAGCAAATACCAATTGTAAAGATCAAACCAATCGAACGAATGGAAAACAACTGTCATATTCCTAACTTGGTAAAGTAGTGTAAAAGTCATAGTCTTTTCTGAATTTGGTAATTTTAGTTTCCTGTCCTCTATACATGGTGTAATTCTATAATTTATAAAAGGATTGAAACTAGCATAAATCACAAAAATATGACTCTGCAACAATTCCCTTTGTACATGTATCGTTCTCGTGCTAAGATTTTTGTAAGGTTACACAAGGAGTCCATTGCTTATTATAACGTGTCTGAAACCAAACAAGCGGAAGAGTGTGCTGTTCAATGTTTTTTTTTCAATCAAATATGTGTTTCAGGCAAAATTAATTTGGGCCTGTTGATGCCATAGGAAAAGTCCTCCTACCATCCTGTACCATTGTTCAAAACTCTCTTGAAAGATTTCCTTCATTGATTTAGGTAAGTGTTGTAAGAATATTTTATATACTTCAATGAATAAGTTTAATAAGAACTGATAGATGGCTGCCCTTTCTGCTCTCAGCTGACTGGTTTTTTCTCTTACTCCTGAAGTCCTTATGCTTTGTTGAGAAGCAGCAAATACCAATTGCAAAGGTCAAACCCATCAAACGAATCAAAAACAACTGTCATATTCCTAACTTGTAAGTAGTGTAAAATCAATAGTCATTTAAGAATTTGATCAATTAAGATTCCTGCCCTCTGTACATGGTATAATTCTTTTATATAAGGATAGAAACTAGCATAAATGACAAAATGTTGACATGCAACAATTCCCTTTGTGCATGTATGGTTCTCTTGTTTCGATTTCTGTAAGGTTACAAAAGGAGTCCATTGCTTAATATAACGTGTCTGAAATCAAACAAGTGGAAGAGTGTGCAATTCAATGTTTTTTTTTATTCAATCAAATATTTTTTTTCAGGTAAAAATTAATGTGGTCCTGTTGATGCCATTGGAAAAGTCCTTCTACCATCCTGTACCATTGTTCCACACTGTCATTAAAATATTTCCTTTGTTGGAAAAAAATGCCTAAACCAAATGTTATGAAACTTGTACACTATGCTTATTACCACAAAACAGAGATCATGTTGGATTTTAAGTGATGTCACTTTTACAGTTCTCTAGTTATGTTCCTTTATAATGTTATATGCAAGCAGGGGCATCATCTGTGTCCCATGGTCACATTCTTAATTTATTTCTTTATTGAATCAACTAGGTGTTTCAGGTAAAATTAGTTTGGTCTTGTTGATGCCATTGGAAAAGTCCTCCTACCATCCTGTACCACTGTTCCACACTGTCATTAAAAGATATCTTTCATTGATTTAGGTAAGTGTTGTAATAATATGTTATATACTTCAATGTATAAGTTTAAAAAAAAATTGATAGATGGCTGCACTCTCTGCTAGCATCAAATTAGTATTTGCTCTTACCCCTAAATGCATCATGCTTTGTGGAAAAGCAGCAAATACCAATTTTAAAGCTCAAACACATCAAACAAATGGAAAACAACTGTCATATTCCTAACTTGGTAAAGTAGTGTAAAAGTATAAGTCTTTTCTGAATTTGGTCATTTTAGTTTTCTGTCCTCTGTACATTGTGTAAATTTTTTATATAAGGATGGAAACTAGCGTAAATCACAAAAATAACAACTCTGCAACAATTCCCTTTGTTCATGTACTGCTCTTGTGCTTTGATTGTTGTAAGGTTACACAAGGAGTCCAATGGTTATTATAACGTGTCTGAAATCAAACAAATGGAAGAGTGTGCTGTTCAAAAATGTTTTTTTATTCAATCAAATATTTGTTTCAGGCAAAATTAATTTGGTCCTGTTGGTGCCATTGGAAAAGTCCTACTACCATCCTGTACCATTGTTCCACATTGTCATTAAAAAATTTCCTTTGTTGGAAAAAATATTGAATTTTTCGTTTTTGTTCTCTAACTTTAGTTTACCTAAACTGAATGTTATGAAACTTGTACACTATGCTTATTACCACAAAACAGAGATCATGTTGGATTTTAAGTGATGTCACTTTTACAGTTCTCTAGTTATGTTCCTTTATAATGTTATATGCAAGCAGGGGCATCATCTGTGTCCCATGGTCACATTCTTAATTTATTTCTTTATTGAATCAACTAGTTGTTTCAGGTAATATTAGTTTGGTCTTGTTGATGCCATTGGAAAAGTCCTTCTACCATCTTGTACCATTGTTCCACATTGTCATCAAAGGATTTCCTTCAGTGATTTAGGTAAGTGTTGTAATAATATGTTATATACTTCAATAAATAAGTTAATTAAGAATTGATAAGTGGCTGCACTCTCTGTTGCATCTAGATATTTGCTCTTACACCTAAATGCCTCCTGCGTTGTGGAGAAGCAGCAAATACCAATTGTAAAGATCAAACCAATCGAACGAATGGAAAACTACTGTCATATTCCTAACTTGGTAAAGTAGTGTAAAAGTCATAGTCTTTTCTGAATTTGGTAATTTTAGTTTCCTGTCCTCTATACATGGTGTAATTCTATAATTTATAAAAGGATTGAAACTAGCATAAATCACAAAAATATGACTCTGCAACAATTCCCTTTGTACATGTATCGTTCTCGTGCTAAGATTTTTGTAAGGTTACACAAGGAGTCCATTGCTTATTATAACGTGTCTGAAACCAAACAAGCGGAAGAGTGTGCTGTTCAATGTTTTTTTTTCAATCAAATATGTGTTTCAGGCAAAATTAATTTGGGCCTGTTGATGCCATAGGAAAAGTCCTCCTACCATCCTGTACCATTGTTCAAAACTCTCTTGAAAGATTTCCTTCATTGATTTAGGTAAGTGTTGTAAGAATATTTTATATACTTCAATGAATAAGTTTAATAAGAACTGATAGATGGCTGCCCTTTCTGCTCTCAGCTGACTGGTTTTTTCTCTTACTCCTGAAGTCCTTATGCTTTGTTGAGAAGCAGCAAATACCAATTGCAAAGGTCAAACCCATCAAACGAATCAAAAACAACTGTCATATTCCTAACTTGTAAGTAGTGTAAAATCAATAGTCATTTAAGAATTTGATCAATTAAGATTCCTGCCCTCTGTACATGGTATAATTCTTTTATATAAGGATAGAAACTAGCATAAATGACAAAATGTTGACATGCAACAATTCCCTTTGTGCATGTATGGTTCTCTTGTTTCGATTTCTGTAAGGTTACAAAAGGAGTCCATTGCTTAATATAACGTGTCTGAAATCAAACAAGTGGAAGAGTGTGCAATTCAATGTTTTTTTTTATTCAATCAAATATTTTTTTTCAGGTAAAAATTAATGTGGTCCTGTTGATGCCATTGGAAAAGTCCTTCTACCATCCTGTACCATTGTTCCACACTGTCATTAAAATATTTCCTTTGTTGGAAAAAAATGCCTAAACCAAATGTTATGAAACTTGTACACTATGCTTATTACCACAAAACAGAGATCATGTTGGATTTTAAGTGATGTCACTTTTACAGTTCTCTAGTTATGTTCCTTTATAATGTTATATGCAAGCAGGGGCATCATCTGTGTCCCATGGTCACATTCTTAATTTATTTCTTTATTGAATCAACTAGGTGTTTCAGGTAAAATTAGTTTGGTCTTGTTGATGCCATTGGAAAAGTCCTCCTACCATCCTGTACCACTGTTCCACACTGTCATTAAAAGATATCTTTCATTGATTTAGGTAAGTGTTGTAATAATATGTTATATACTTCAATGTATAAGTTTAAAAAAAAATTGATAGATGGCTGCACTCTCTGCTAGCATCAAATTAGTATTTGCTCTTACCCCTAAATGCATCATGCTTTGTGGAAAAGCAGCAAATACCAATTTTAAAGCTCAAACACATCAAACAAATGGAAAACAACTGTCATATTCCTAACTTGGTAAAGTAGTGTAAAATTAATAGTCTCTTCTGAATTTGATCAATATAGTTTCCTCTCCTCTATACACGGTGTAATTCTTTTATATAAATAAATGATGACAACAAGCACATGTAGCATAAATCACAAAAATATGGACTTGGTGGCAATTGCCTTTGTACTGCTCTTGTGCTTTGATTTTTGTAAGGTTACACAATGAGTCCAATGCTTATTATAACTTGTCTGAAATCAAACAAGGGGAAGAGTGTCCAGTTCAATATTGTTTTTTTTATTCAATCAAATATATGTTTCAGGTAAAATTAATTTAATCCTGTTGATGCCATTGGAAAAGTTCTACTACCATCCTGTACCATTGTTACACACTGTCATTAAAAGATTTCCTTCATTGATTTAGGTAAAAGAGGGACAAGATACCAGAGGGACAGTCAAACTCATAGATCGAAAACAAACTGACAACGTCATGGCCAAAAATAAAAAGACAAACAGACAAATAATAGTACAGATGACACAACATAGAAAACTAAAGACTAAGCAACACGAACCTTATTAAGTGTTGTAATAATATGTTATATACTTCAATGAATAAGTTTGATAAGAATTGATAGATAGGTGCTCAGGGTTCTCCACAGAAAATTTAACCAAGTAGGATGTTTCACTGGGACATAACCAAGCGTGTCGTGAACCAACATGAAATGCCTCAAGCTTTGTGGATAAGCAGCAAATACCAATTACAAAGTGTTCAATGTGTCCCGGTAAGGGTTTGAATATACTGAATTGTTACAATAAAAATTACATTTCTTTCACTCACAGGCAAGACATATGATTCCGAGTAACCCTTAACACATTTTTAGCACACCTGGCCTTAAGGGCCAGTCTGAGCTTTTGCTGTCACTTGGTGTCCTTCTTTTTCAAAGATGATCTCCTCTGAAACTACTGGGGAAAATTTAACCAAACATCATTGGTGTATTTAATTTAAAAAATGTATCTGATGACTTCTCCTGCCAACAAACATGGCCAACATAGCTAAAATAGATCAAAAGGGTAAAATGCAAAGTGCTTATTATATCATTTATTCAGTTTGAGTTATTTCCCTTTGAACAGAAAATTAATAAGTATATGGATAAAATTAAACTGTGTTTCATTTCAACAAACATTGAATATATATAGGGTTCTTTCAAATGCTGAATCTAAACCTGTATTTAAATATTGGATTTTTGGGCCTAGTTTTCAAGTTGGTCCAAATCCGGGTCCAAAATTAAACTTTCTTTGATTTCAACATAAATTGAATTTATGGGGTTCTTTGAAATGCTGAATCTAACCATGTAAATTAGATTTTGGATATTGGACCATAATAGGTAAATGTCCAATTTCAAATTTTTCAGTTTGACCACATTCATTTTGTGTCACAAACCTATGCTGTGTCAAAAATTCAATCACAATCCAAATTCAGAGCTGTTTTAAGCTTAAATGTAGTGTCCATACTTGCTCAACTGTTGAGGGTTCGACCTCTGCAGGAAATCCGGTTTGCTGTCACTCTGACAGCCTCTTGTTGTCTATTATCTTGAAAACCACTATAGATAGAGAAAATCTGACAGAGACAAAAAATGTTCAAAATGATGAGATCTACATGAAGTCTATTGACATCAAAACTGTCAGTCGACTTCTTATATGAGTTATTGGCCTTAAACAAAGATTTTTCCTTTTTTTTTGACTTTTTGCCTATTTATCTCAAAAATGGTCATAGATAGACAGGAAGACAAGATCTACATTGTCAGTATACACTTTATTGAAGTTATTTCCCTTTAATGAAGATTAGCATGCATGCGAGACATCTCTGTGTGTACAGTTTGTTTACTATAATCAACTGATTTTTCATATTGCAGAAAATTCCATTGGAAAGGAAAAGTTGGGGTCATTGTTGGAACTATAAAGTATACAAGATACAGCTTTTAAGAAACAGGTAAATAATCTGCGAACGATTGAATGATAATTTACTCCTCCTACCTACAAGGTAATATTGCTTTCATGTGACACTTTGCTCCTCCTACCTACAAGGTAATGTTGCTTTCATATGACACTTTGCTCCTCCTACCGACAAGGTAATATTGCTTTCATGTGACACTTTGCTCCTCCTACCTACAAGGTAATGTTGCTTTCATATGACACTTTGCTCCTCCTACCGACAAGGTAATATTGCTTTCATGTGACAGTTTGCCCCTCCTACCTACAAGGTAATATTGCTTTCATGTGACACTTTGCTCCTCCTACCTACACAGTAATATTACTTTCATGTGACACTTTGCTCCTCCTTCCTACACGGTAATATTACTTTCATGTGACACTTTGCTCCTACCTACAAGTTGATATTACTTTGATGGTTAAACAGCTAGCAGGCAAGGTAAACTAAAACACAGTTATTCTTACATGCTCAATTATTCAGCTGTAAATCTATAGTAAAATAAAAAGATGTGGTATGATTGCCAATGAAACAACGCTTTACCAGAGACCACATGACGTAGAATTTATCAAATATAGGACGCCTAAGGCCTTCAACAATGAGCAAAACTCATACCACATAAAAAGCACTAGTTTGTTTTATGCTCATTGACAATCAAGGAAAGATAATGGCATAACCGTCAGTTTGCTATTGTTGGTCAAAGGGGAGATAATCACAGAAAAAATTATATTTATAGCAAAGTTTTGTGACATTGATTTAAATATCAATAACAGTAAATAATCTTCATTTAGGTTAACATTTTATGATAAACTTAATATAAGAGAAACAAATTTCTGAATATCCTTCATAATTTGAGGACGTTTAGAATATTTATGAATGTCGTGCTATAATTCAAGGAAATCAGTGCTATTTCAAATCTTATGGTGCTATTTGAAAATTAAAAGAAGGAAACTGTCACTTGTCTTCTGATAAATTTACTATTGTTCTGAGGCAGAAAATACTAAGCAGGCACTAAAAAATTATAAGGAAACTAGACACACCCAAAGCTCTAAAATATAATTAGTTGAAAAGAACCAGACTGAACAATAGCACTAAATAATCATAAGTTGAAGAAAACCAAGACACAGCACTAATAAATCAAAAGAAATTGTACAGTTTTCTTCATAGATATGTTTTATCTATATTTTAAGAATACAGCCGTTTTAAGTCCAGAGCAACTGCTAAATCATCATCTTATTGCAAGACCGCTTTTATAAGTATTTTCTATTTGCCTCCTTGAAATTATTTCTTTTCATGATTTTATTTCCTGCTGGTGAATAGAAATATGGGGTCGAGCAAGCTGATCAGTATAACTTTGAATAAAACGGGAAAAACTAGACCCCTTTAGGCTGGGGAAAATTACTATAGATAGAGCAAAGAAACATCTGCGCCATCAAGCCTAATCAGTATTGCTACACATAAAACAAATGCAGGAACCAATCTAGTCTGATTGTTATTCATATAAAAATAACATAAAATTACTGAACTCCAACTGTCGAACAGAAATACAGGGTTTTTTTGGCTATGTTGTGTAAATACTGGTTTCAATTGGCATTTCCTTTCTAAATAGAACATTGAAATACTGAAATCCTTAACTTACCTAACCTGGTCGTTATTGCTAAGCATGAAGTTGAGTGAAGTTTAGGTGAATTAGACACCAGTCACAAAAAAAACAACACAACACAAAAAAGATTAAAAAGCCTCTAATAGGGTCAACCTAACCTTGATTTACAAATTAAATGTGAGTAAAATGTAAATATATGTATCTGTGTGACAAGATTCAACTAACCTTGACTTCTGGGTGTAATTTTCTATTTGCAGGACATCATGGAAAGTTTTAATGAGGTAAGATTGTCTTAAAAAGCCCAGTTGTCATGTGACTTATTGTTATTGAAAAAAAGATACATGTATGTGGTATGTTGGTATGAAAACAAGATGAAAATAAGTATAATTTAAATGAATTAAATTTCAGTCTGTGAAATACTATTGTTGAAATGCTACAAAATTACTGTATATGTTTCTGTTGTCTGTAGCTGCTTTTTAAAAAAGGAAAATACTTGATTAAAGACAACAATTTCACTCTTTCTTGGTAGTCATTGTACTTGAATAGCAAACTGGGAAATGTAAACATCATCATCAGAAGTCATAAATATATATATATATTAGTACTTACAAAATTTTCACTATAGAATTAATTGCCTTTTTGTGTTTTTGTGGCTTTTTGTGGATTTCTTTTTATATCAAATTTAGAAAAAAAAACAGCATTCTAATATTTACAGAAATATGATATATATATATTATTTAAATATTGAATATGAAAGTGCTATCCCATTTTAAATCAATGTAATAAAACGGGAACTGGCTTAACACATGCTTAATGTAGATGTCACTTTCAAAACTATATAGATAAGTCTGAAAATATTTATAAAATATCAAATAATTATTGTATGTTTTAGGATAATATCTTATTGTTTTGTATTTCAATTAATTATTCATCTGTTCCATATAAAATATCCACTACTGTTTTAAATTTGATTAGATAAGATTTGATAGTTTAAAAAATTGTAAAAGTACATTCAATATATTAGGCTGACCGAGCTAATACGTCTTTTCTTAGGTTGCATCACTAGTTAATCAAGTTTGATCTGAAATGGCCATTTTCATCTCAACAGCTCTTAAAAGACAATAAATATTTTTGTAATTTTTGTCTCTCAAAAAGAGAGACATATGTATGATCTTTCCGGCAGTGGCAGCGGCAGTGGCAGTGGTGTCTACAATGTATTAGTTTGTGATTAGATCTAGTTTATGGTGAAACATTAGTTGTAGGTCAACGATATTTGGTATGCAGTTGTATTAGCATTGGCTCATCTCATTTCCATGGAGATTTTTTGGCTCTGCCCCCTCAGTCATGGTCTATTGAATTTGCTTAGTTTACATGTATTAGTTTGTGATAGGTCAGTTTAAGGGGAAACATTTTTGGTAGGTCAATGATAATGGACTATTTTCATAATACCAACTTTTAACTCCGGAAACAAACATCAAGTGAAGCAACCAAAAGAAGTAGAATAAAACATATAATCGTTGGATTTTATGGGGAAAGTTTACTGTTTTCCTAAGACTCTGCCATGTATAAAAGCATTTAACAGTTAATTTTCCCCCTAAATTCAATTCAACCGATGGTAAGCTTGATTTTACTTCTTCAATTTGCTTTTACTTGACTGAGTACTAGGATGATCTACCACAGAGAAGGTAAACTGTCAAAACTCCATAGTCAAAAGTCGGTAATATGAAAATAGTGATTGGATCAGTCTTAAGATGAACCACTAATGTTAAGTCAATGATATTTGGTATCCAAACGTATAGGCATTTGCAAGTCTCATTTCTATGGAGATTATATAGCCCCACCCCCTCATTATGGTTCATTGACTTTGAAACTTTTACATAGTTTACAAGTTAATGTTTGTGTTTAGGTTTGTTTAAAGGGAACGACTTATGATAAGTCAATAGTATTTGGTATGCAGTTGTATTAGTATTGGCACATCTCATTTCCATGGAGATTGTTCAGCCCTGTACCCTCAGTCACTGTTCATTGACTTTGAATATGTGCATTATTTACATGTTAAAGTATTGCTATTTAAATTTCAACATTTGCATTATCAAAATAATAAAAAAGCGAGACATAATTCTGTGTTAACAGTTTATTAGTCTTTCAGTCAATTTTGAGGCTTATCCTCTGCAGTAATATCAGTGCTGTAATTAGTCAAATCGCTTGCAATCAATTAAGATTTGTTCTGACTATGTAAAGACGATTCAGTAGTCATTATTATTAACAAGTACAAGCCCTGTATGCAAAGTAAATTCATAATATATGCACATTTGTAATTTAAATTGTTAAGCAGTGCTTATATTTTCTCTTCGCAGTCATTGAAACTCATAGATCCTTGGTGAATATTGTTGTTGGTTTTTTTTGGTCTTGTCGAAAACCCAAAAGTAAGATGTAACACCTGAATGTGCTTTCTTATGACTGCAGCATAAAAAAATACAAGCTAGAGATACAAGAATACCTCAATAAAACTAAAAATAGTTCATACATAATTTTTTTGCACATATGTTTAAACAGTTTTAGTCCTATATTAGCCAAATTATGCTAGTTATATAGTGAGAGATAATATTATTGTGAAAAGATTCCTAAACTGACCATTAGAGGCAGAAATTGTGATTTTTTATAGATAAATAGGCATACAGTAAGATGTGGACTGGAGACAGAGGCAGAATTGGATACTTTATATAATCTTGAATGTTGTTGTGATTAACTACTAAACTTTACATTTACAGTATTTTGAAATGTTTTTAATTTGGTATCAGAATAGTTTCATACAGGTTTTAGGTATTTCATGTCAGAAAACATGCACATAAGGTTAGCTGACATTAATTAAAGTCTTGTTTTCAAATTCTTTAAAAATTGAAACAGCAGTGGGGGTATACAATGTACTGTAAAAGGAAAGTTAGAGTATATGCAGTGATTTCTTTAAGGCTATGATTCTGATAAATGACCATTGTTGTGAGAAAAAGTGTTTTTCAAGATTTTTCTATTTGAATTAATGTTAGTATAGGTTGCAGTTTGTATATACAGCTGTTTCACAAACCACGCCTCTTTTGGGGAGATATAAAATATTCATAGATGTTCTGTTTTGTTTACCTACTGGTTCCCAGATATGATCTCTATGTTTCATCTCGTAGAGACATAATTTGGAAATGTTACCAGTACAGATACACATGAATACGGGGAAAATTCAAATCTGAGGAAGACCAGAAGTGAAGGGAGGGATAGAACAGAATTTTAATATAAGTTTAAACTCTTTATAGAAGTTCACAGCCCTATATTTTGACCTTTGTAAAATAGTAGCATATGGGTTTTCCATTCTAGGATTTGATTTTTTTACAAAACTTCATAGTAAAAGTGGTACAGTTTTAGCCGTAAAAGGAGTTCCTTTTGGAAATTGCATTGTCTATATTTACAAAATTGCAACCTACAGCTATGTGTTCAAGACAGTTATGACAAGGCTTTGATTTACTTACAGAAACTAGGTAAAGCTGCTTGGAAAGGAAGATTAAAAGATTTGAAAAGATGCATACAAAAGGGGGCAGATTTGGAATATATAGATAGTGTAAGTAAAATAACAGAAAATGTATCTTTAAAGATATTATCATACATTGAAATGGGGACTCACCAAAAATGTTGGTCCTTCCTGGCACAGATAGGTTTAATGTAATTTTATTATTATATAAATTGTTAAAAGATATTCAAGATCCTGTTAATTTAAGTTTTGAATTTCTTTAAAGATAGTATTGTATATATAAGACGTGAATTCAACATAAATGCTTATCACTTCTAAATGTGACTGGAGAATAGAAATATTGTAACTTTGGTCTTCTTCCAACACGCTGTAAAAACCTTGTGGAAGTGAGGCTTCTCTTTAACTGTGCATGATATACAAGTACACACTAATGTCTGGTCAGAATGGGGACATTAAATCAGATGCATCATGTTCTCTGCACACTAAGAACCCTTTTAACAACTCTTTGAGTCAGTCGGTGGCCTTTTGCAAGACAACATTTCTGTCCCTATCCAATATACATTCATTTTCTAGTGGCAAATTTTCCTGACCTTCATCCTGGACAACCTCTACATTTATTACAGGACCTACCTTTTGTATTTATTGTCAGTTTGTTATCGTCTTGAACATTCATGAAATACAGTCAACTTCTTTGTGTAGAACTCGGTTGTGTCGAAAACTTGGATGAGTCGAAGTAATTTCTCAGTTGCGGTAAAATTCCCGTTTGATCAATGTAAAATTACCTCTGATGACTCGAATACTCGGTTAAGTCGAGTAAAAGTATAGTCCTGTCGATGTAAAATTAATGTACATTGACCCAGGGCTTCCAAAATTATTTTTAGCCAGCCGGACATTTTATATATTATCCCGATTTTAATCCCTTAAGACTGAATAAACAAAAGGCAATTATGGTAATCAGTTGCCGAGTTGGCCATCCCAATGATTGACATTAAAAAAAAAAACGATATTAAACTTTCTTTGATTCAAATTCGAAGTTCTGCATACCTGCCAACATTCACGATTTAGGCGTGTACTACACGATTTTGACCCTTTGTCACGATTGCACGATCGGGATCGTGAAAAAACCTCTAAAACACGATTTTGTGAAAATCTACACGAAAAATATGATTGTTCCCGATATTGAACTGTTTCAAAGGGAAGACAATCGTGATCAGCCAATCAAATTCTGTGTTTCTCATGATCAAATTAATAAGCCAATCAAAAATGTTTTCTCTTAAGATTATTCTAACAGGCTAGATTTTGAACTTGTGTTGTATTCCTCTGTGTGTTAGTCAGAATTGTAAAATCGTGAACATGGAAGGTTAATTTTCATCTGCAAGGAGGTTCTTAAACAGCTTAAGAATAAAAGAATGGCTGATTGACAAAATTCAATGATGCAGTACTACCATAAAGATAATAAATAGTAGTTTATTCACTAATTTATTGACATTACACTTGCTGTAACATATGTCATTTTTGTATTCAATTAAATAACCAAATGGGGCAAATCATTTAAAGTACAATGTACTGTACATTTTGTACTTCATTTTTCACAAGGACCAAACAAACAGGTTCGGAAAAAACCCCCAAATGAGGGGTATATCCCTTAAATGATGGACTGTCCCCAAGACATTAAGACAAGGGGTCATTTTACTGTTGTAAAAAAGAAAAATTTAGATTTTTTAACGTAACAGTGGGAAAATTCATTATATTTGGAACAACTTTAAAGTCTTTTCTAAATGAGGGGTCCAATTATTTTTAATAATAAACATGATAAAGAAGATAAAAATCCAGGAACATTACAAAATTCTTAGAGATGTTTTGACCATATAATACCAGATAGATGTATAATTCTTTATGAAAAGTTTCTTCAAATAATATAAATATATGCTCATTTGCACTTAAAATTGGTTTTTAATGTCCTTACATTGAGGGGTGTTGTTCCCAACCTGATAAAAGTCCTTCTTTGTTCATAGCTTTAAATTTTAAACATCAACAATCATTTGATATCCTAACACAAGAAAATAAATCCTGGTCTTCTAGCTACAGATTCATCTTTTCTACTGATATATTAATAATAACTAGAATCATGCTAATAAACTTAAGAAAAAGGCTTGTAATCTCATCATACAAATATGACACTTTTTCTAGACCACAAAATAGCACGCGCAAAATATGTCGCAAATAATTGTTGTCGCGCCCTAAAACCCCCATGGGGACTTTCAAAAGTTGGCAGGTATGGTTCTGACGTAAACTGTTAAATTGGCAGTGCATCATTCGAAGTGTGCAACATCAGCGTACTTATATCTGCCTTAGACTCTTTATTTGTGCAAAATAACGTTGTCAAAAACTTTACTTTCGTTTTTAAATCTAATACCGGATGTTATCTTGACAATGGTAAAACATGGACCAGAAACGGATACGTGTACGTTTGCAAAGCATGAATGAGTGTAAGTAGCTCTGAACAGGTAAATTTCAGCTGTTCGACAACTAATTAGCCTTGATTAAAATGAGAAGGTATTAAAGTAGGGGTTGTTTTGATAGTACTTAATGATCATGTCACTTTTATGACTGGAAATGTGTGGCTGTTAAAGGCAAAAGGTTGGGTCAAAAAGATCGCGAATTATGTTAAAATGACCGTCTCTTAAGAAAGCCCTGAAAACTAAAAAGTAGTTCATGCTTTGCCCAGCCGGACTTTTACCGGACATTATATAAATGTCCCGAATATATGACCGTTTTGGAAGCCTTGCATTGACCCCGATGATTCAAAGTTCGAAAGTAAGAATTTTTCGAAAGATGCAGACATAATGATAAAAATTCAAATCGAACGTATTTCTTATGTAACTTTTCTCTTTCAAAAGAGATTAAAGTTGAGTAAACATACTTGTTTGAATAACAGTTAAAATGACATGTTTATGGTGACCGGTAATAAACACCTTTATTGATTGTCCAAGCTTAACGTTAGTGTGTTGAACGTATTTCACCTGACATAAAAAAAAATCGAATTTAAATGACCCCAGCCAAGAAATGAATCGTTAAAATTAAAATTCATTAATTACAATAAATAAAGGATTGAGACAATTAGGATGAATTTATAATAATTCAATGTAAAGCAGACGACCACATCTGTGACCCTTCAGAACTTGCTTTATTCCACGATTGATTCAATAATTTATAGTGACTGACCTTTGTAAATATTTGTGTATGCTATTGATTTTTTAATGCATGATTTGTATCTGAAGGACAAAAAAATATGGAGATTGAAATCACAATTATAAATTGTCATATCGAAGAAAAACTCACTGTTCAAAAGTGTCTAGTTAACACAAATCTCATATCGTATTGTATTTCATGTTTTCCAAATTTATGACGACACACTCGACCTCGGATAAGTCGAATCTCGGATAAGTGGAATACTTTAGTCCACTCCCGTCGACCTCGACATATTGTGGTTCGACTGTACTTGCCACTTGACGTTAAGCAACCAACAATCATTCAATCAATAATGCTGGTTATTCAGTTAAAAGTTATATATTTAAATAAACGATCTATGAGTTTGACTGTCCCTCTGGTATCTTTCGTCCCTCTTTTAAACAATACTGTGGATTAATTAATTTTCGTGGGTATCAATTTTTGTTGAGTGAGGAAAACTTGCATTTTCCTGGACATTTGATTTCATAGTTTTACCAATCTCTACATGCATAGCCTATTACAAATTTGTAATTCGTTGGACATTTGAATACATGGTTGACATGTACCCATGAAACCCAAGAAAATTGGTATCCAACGTAAAATAATGAATCTGCAGTATTTAAAATCATGTCATTGTATAAGTCGAAATATCTGTTTGATTTAACATTTTATTGTGAATTCATTTCTATTCGTAGTATATTAATTTTCGTAGGTTTTGTGGGTCACAATAAACCATGAATTTAAGAATTCAGCGAAGAATAATCCAGAGAAATGTGTATTTTAGTCGGATGTTTGTTCCCAGTTTTGTTGTGCTATTCTAGTATAGTGTTGACTTGCGATAAACATCATGAACATGGTAACATAAAAAGTTATTTTGAAAAAAAAAAAAAAAATTTTTGAATATATACATAATGAAATCTGTAGAATATATATAATTAAAATAGTTCATGGGAAATAACTTCAAGTTGTTATTATTACAGTATAATTTGGTTTATTGGTGATTAAAAATCAATAAGATTAAGTAAGGGACATTGCCCTTAAGTAATATCGTTTATGACAGGAACATTAAAGTTCACACCTTTGTCTCCTAAAAAATGAGTGACAAACTTTTAATAAGGTAGCTCAAGTAGGACACACATTGCTTTTTCGAATAAAATTTTAATAAATTGCTGTTGAAGCATTTTTGTTTACTAGTTCTGGACATAAATGACATTCTAACAAAATGATAATTTACTTGCACATGAAAACATTGAGATGGACACTTGTAACCTATTTATTAGTCCCCTGCAGACTAAGTTGAAGTGGAATTTAGGTTTGCACTCCGTTCATCTGTATGTATGTCTGTAAATTCAGTTTTCCGCACTTATTTTCTTAAAGATATTGGTTTGATATTTGGTATAAAGTTTTATCATAACCAGTTATAGATCAAGTTTGATTTTTGTTCCAGTCTGATGATTTTGTGCAGAGTTATGGTCCTTGGACTTCGAAAATTCACTCAAGTAATCAGTTTTCAGCACTTTTTTTCGTCATGCTTGAAGATATTGATTTGATATTTGCTTTGTTGTTTAATAATGACAAGTTATAGATCATGTTCGAATTTTGTTCCGTTCAAATGATTTTTTTGCTTAGAAAATACATGCAAGTTATCAGTTTATTTGCATTTTGTTCCAATGCAATGAATTTTAAACCGGTAGGGGATTATGTATTGCAATGCAATACTCTCAGAATGCTTGTTAGATTTCTTTTAGACATTTATTGGTATAAATCATACAATTTTCAAATAAATTTTTAATTGCAAAATCATTCATTAAAATTAAATGAAATAATTATTTTTGACATAAAACTTAAATAAGAAAACATAGCCTTTTACAAGTTCCCCAGAGTTTATCTTACAAAACTGTGAGATGGGTAAATATTGTATCGTTGTATGGGATGTATAAATTAACACAACACTGATGGGGAAGCTCTATATATTTACACACCGCTGATGGTGAAGCTCTATAAATTACCACAACACTGATGGTAAAGCTCTATATATTAAGACACCACTGATAGTGAAGCTCTATAAATTAACACACTGCTGATGGGGAAGCTCTATAAATTCTCACATTGATAATGAAGCGCTATAAATTAACACACCGCTGATGATGAAGCTCTACAGTATAAATAAACACACCACTGATGGTGAAGCTCTACAAATTCAAACATCACTGATACTGAAGCCATATAAATTACCAGAACACTGATGGGGAAGCTCTATAAATTAATACATCACTGATGTTTAAGCTCTTTAGTATAAACTAACACTCCAGTGAGAGTGAGGGTCTATTAATTCACACATCACTGACACAGAAGCCATATAAATTAACACAACACTGATGGGGAAGCTCTATGAATTAACACACCACTGATGGCAAAGCTCTATTAAATAATACACAACTGATGGTGAAGCTCTTTAATTTCACTTATCACTGATAGTGAAGCCATATAGATTTACACAACACTGATGGTGAAGCCTTATAAATTCACACATCACTAATGGTAATACTCTATAAATTAAACACCACTGATGGTGAAGCTCTATTAAATAATACACAACTGATGGTGAAGCTCTTTAATTTTACACATCACTGATAGTGAAGCCATATAGATTTACACAACACTGATGGTGAAGCCTTATAAATTCACACATCACTAATGGTAATACTCTATAAATTAAACACCACTGATGGTGAAGCTATATGAATTCAAACATCATTGATGGTTCAGTTCTATAAATTCACACATCAGTAAAGATGACACCTTAAATTCACAAATTATTGATAGTGTGGCTCTATTAATTAACACATCACTAATGTCGAAGTCCTACAAATTGACATAACACTGATGAAAAAGCTCTAAAAGTTAACGCACAACTGTTGGTAAAGCTTTATGAAATAACATACCACTGATGGCAAAGCTATAGAAATTATACTACCATTCGATGGCAAAGCTCTATAAATTATACCACCATTCGATGGCAAAGCTCTATGAAATAACATACCACTGATGGCAAAGCTATAGAAATTATACTACCATTCGATGGCAAAGCTCTATAAATTAAAAATCCTTTGATGGCAAAGCTATAGAAATTATACCACCATTCGATGGCAAAGCTCTATAAATTAAAAAACCTTTGATGGCAAAGCTATAGAAATTATACTACCATGCGATGGCAAAGCTCTATAAATTAAAAAACCTTTGATGGCAAGGCTATAGAAATTATACAACCATTCGATGGCAAAGCTCTATAAATTAAAAAACCTTTGATGGCAAAACTCTATAACATTATAAATTAAAAACCATTGATGGCAAAACCACATAAATTTTACTCATGGTAAGAAATCCATTGATACAAATGTTTTATACATTTCACAAAAAAAAAGTTTTTTTACATAATCGTTTTGATCATAGAATGGCATATATTTGTTGTTTAAGTATAATATAATTTCAAGTGTGACTGGTCATTCTATTAATTTTTGAGCACTTATTCATGTGATATGTATTTTATTTATATTTATTAAACAACATTGTCCAGTTTATGACACAAGTTTTGATGTTTGTTAAATGTTGATATTACAGAATGGTATGACACCATTGTTGTATGCAGCACAGGAAGGACACCTGGAGATCCTCCGTTATCTGGTTACAGTCGGCTGTGATAAAGAAATGAGAGACACCAAGGTGATTTTAGATATTAGCTCCTCAGTCTCATACTTCTATTTATATTGAATCATTACAAAATCATGTGGTTAGTCAAACAGGTTTAACGGACAACAAATACTTGTTAGAATGAAATAAAGAGTGTTAACATTTCAATTGTCAAACTGAATCAGACAATAAACATGATAAAGGTAAATTTTGTTTTCTAACAAAAAATTATAAACCTCTGATTTTATTTGGACTTGATTAGAACAAGTTTTGTCAGATGATATTAAAGTCATATGAATCTTCAAATTAAAAGAAATATGACACGTATGTTTTTTTTATAACTAAATGGCTAGTTTTTATTATAAAACTTATGTTATATACTTTTTTCTCAAGAAAATTCTTTAATTTGTCCATCTTTAGAAGAAGTTTACTTTTTTTGAATTATTGGCTTCCCAGACAATAATTCGCCGACATGTTTTCCGTTTGCAAAGACCTCAGCGTGACCTTTCTCGTAAAAACCCGTGATCACAATAAGCATCGCTCCGTCATCGAAATAAACTACATCTTATTGTACATGTTATACACGTGCTTACCTCAATATCTATGCTTCTTTGTTGATTGTTTACTAAGGTGACAATCTGTAAACTTCGGCTTCAAAATAGGACAATTAATTAGCTGCCATATTTTCAAATCAAAACAGACCGAGTGAAATATTTTATTGACGATTATACTGTATGGATGCGTAAAAATTGATAAAATCGTGCTCGGAAGACTTAGTTTATGATATATACATGCACTGGTTCAAAAACTGGATTAACATTTTTTTTCATTAGTCTCTTGTTTCATATGACTTTAATCTTACAGATCTAATGTAAAACATCTTTTAATGATATCAAATAATGAATAGAATTATATAAAGTGGGATTTCATTTCACTTGTCTTGTCCTATTTCATCCATTGATCTAGATATTTTATACTTTCCTAAAAAAAAAAAATTTAACATGACAGTTTGGATCATAGTTCTGACATCACACAACAAAACATGCTGTTTATTTGTTGTTTATGTAGAATAGAAATACAAGTGTGACTGGTCATTTAAAAACAGTTTTGACCACTGATTCATGTGATATATATTTTATTTATATTGATTACACAACATTGTCCAGTTAATGACACCTGTTTTGATGTCTGTTTTATGTAAATATTACAGTATGGATCCACACCATTATTGAAAGCAGCACACAATGGACACCTAGAGATAGTCCGTTATCTGGTTACAGTCGGCTGTGAAAAAGAAGCCAGAAACAAAGTGAATATTGATATTAATCTCCTCAGTCTCATACTTCTATTTATATTGAATCAATACAAAATCATGTTGTTATTCAGACAGGTTTAATGGACAACAAACACTTGTAAGAATTAAATAAAGAGTGTTAACATTTCAATTGTCAAACTGAATCAGATAATAAACATGATAAAGGTTGTGTTTTCTAACAAAAAAAATATTTTGTAAACCTCTGATTTTACCTATAGTTGATTAGAACAGGTTTGGTCAGATGATATTAATCATACAGATCTAATGTAAAACATCTTTTAATGATAACAAATAATTGATAAAATTATATAAAGTGGGATTTCATTTCACTTGTCTTGTCCTACTGCATCCTTGATACAAATGTTTTATACATTTAAAAGAAAATAGTTTTTTTACATAATCGTTTTGATCATAGAATTGCATTTATTTGTTGTTTATGTAGAATTTATGCATTATAAAGCCTTATAAGTTCACAAATCCTTAATCCTGACATCCTTAATTCGCACCTACTTATAGTGACACCCTAGAATCAAGAATCAGTGATGATGACGCCCTAAATTTATACACCAGTGATGGTCTCATCATAAATTCACACACCACTGATGGTGACACCCTAAATTCACACACCACTGATGGTGAAACCCTTTTAATTCACCCACTACTGATGGTGACACCCTAAATTCACCCACCACTGATGATGAAACCCTTTTGATTCACACTCCACTGATGGTAAAGCTCTATATATTAAGACACCACTGGTAGTGAAGCTCTATAAATTCTCACATTGATAATGAAGCGCTATAAATTAACACACCGCTGATGATGAAGCTCTATAGTATAAATAAACACACCACTGATGGTGAAGCTCTACAAATTCACACATCACTGATACTGAAGCCATATATATGTAAATTACCAGAACACTGATGGGGAAGCTCTATAAATTAATATGTCACTGATGTTTAAGCTCTTTAGTATAAACTAACACTCCAGTGAGAGTGAGGGTCTATTAATTCACACATCACTGATACAGAAGCCATATAAATTAACACAACACTGATGGGGAAGGTCTATGAATTAACACACCACTGATGGCAAAGCTCTATTAAATAATACACAACTGATGGTGAAGCTCTTTAATTTTACACATCACTGATAGTGAAGCCATATAGATTTACACAACACTGATGGTGAAGCCTTATAAATTCACACATCACTAATGGTAATACTCTATAAATTAAACACCACTGATGGTGAAGCTCTATGAATTGAAACATCATTGATGGTTCAGTTCTATAAATTCACACATCACTAATGATGACACCTTGAATTCACAAATTATTGATAGTGAGGCTCTATTAATTAACACATCACTAATGGTGAAGTCCTACAAATTGACATAACACTGATGAAAAAGCTCTAAAAGTTAAGGCACCACTGTTGGTAAAGCTCAATGAAATAACATACCACTGATGGCAAAGCTATAGAAATTATACCACCATTCGATGGCAAAGCTATAGAAATTATACCACCATTCGATGGCAAAGCTCTATAAATTATACCACCATTCGATGGCAAAGCTCTATGAAATAATATACCACTGATGGCAAAGCTATAGAAATTATACCACCATTCGATGGCAAAGCTCTATAGAATAACATACCACTGATGGCAAAGCTCTATGAAATAACATACCACTGGTGGCAAAGCTATAGAAATTATACCACCATTCGATGGCAAAGCTCTATAAATTAAAAAAAAAAACCTTTGATGGCAAAGCTCTATAACATTATAAATTAAAAACCATTGATGGCAAAACTACATAAATTTTACTCATGGTAAGAAATCCATTGATACAAATGTTTTATACATTTTACAAAAAAAAGTTTTTTTTACATAATCGTTTTGATCATAGAATGGCATATATTTGTTGTTTAAGTATAATATAATTTCAAGTGTGGCTGGTCATTCTATTAATTTTTGAGCACTGATTCATGTGATATGTATTTTATTTATATTTATTAAACAACATTGTCCAGTTTATGACACAAGTTTTGATGTTTGTTAAATGTTGATATTACAGGATGGTATGACACCATTGTTGTATGCAGCACAGGAAGGACACCTGGAGATCCTCCGTTATCTGGTTACAGTCGGCTGTGAAAAAGAAGCGAGAGACACCAAGGTGATTTTAGATATTAGCTCCTCAGTCTCATACTTCTATTTATATTGAATCAATACAAAATCATGTGGTTAGTCAAACAGGTTTAATGGACAACAAACACTTGTTAGAATTAAATAAAGAGTGTTAACATTTCAATCGTCAAACTGAATCAGATAAAAAACATGATAAAGGTTTAATTGTGTTTTCTAACAAAAAAAATATTTTGTAAACCTCTGAATTTACCAAAAACTGATTAGAACAGGTTTCGTCAGATGATATTAATCATACAGATCTAATGTAAAATATCATTTATTGATAGCAAATAATTGAAAACATAGTATAAAGTGGGATTTCATTTCACTTTTCTTGTCCTACTGCATCCTTGATACAAATGTTTTATACATTTAAAAAAAAAATAATGTTTTTTTACATAATCGTTTTGATCATAGAATTGCATTTATTTGTTGTTTATGTAGAATACATGAATTATGAAGCCATATACGCTCACACATCCTAAATCCTGACATCCTAAATTCACACCACCTTATGGTGACGCCCTAAAATCACAAATCAGTAATGATGACGCCCTAAATTCAAACACCAGTGATGGTTTCATAATAAATTCACACCACTGATGGTGACACCCTAAATTCATACACCACTGATGGTGAAACCCTTTAATTTCACACACCACTGATGGGGACACCCTAAATTCACACACCACTGATGGTGAGACCCTTTAAATTCACACACCACTGATGATGAAACCCTTTAAATTCACACACTGTGGGTGGTGTCATACTTAATTAAAACATTACTGGTGATGACAACCTGATTTAACAAACCACTAGCTGTGATACCACAAAGTCAAACACCTTGATGGTGACACCTAACATTCAAACACCTTTGATAATAAAGACTTATAAATTCACACACCACTGATTGTTACAAGGGTGTATTTAATAACTGCTCATAGTTAAGACCAATACATATGCACACCACAGTTAACACCTTAGATTAACACACCACTGATGATCACATATTGAATTACCACACCACTGATGGTGAAACCTTAAAATCGCGAATTGATTATGATGATGCCCTACACTACTGATGATGACACCCTTAAATCATAAATCAGTGATGATGATGCTCTAAATTCAAATATCAATGATGGTGACATCTTAAATACACACACCACTGATGGTCACACCACTGATGGTGATATGGTAAATTCACACCACTGATGGTGACACCTAACTTCAGAAAAAAGACACTTAGTATGCAAAAACCATCATTCAGCCTGTACTGATACAAGTCACGAATCAAACACATAACAGTAATCAGGTACTACCAAAAGACACTGAATACACAAAAACCAAAATTCAGCCCCTACCGATACAAGTCACCAATCAAACACATGACAGTTATCAGGAACTATCAAAAGACACTGAATACACAAAAATCAAAATTCAGCCCCTACCGATACAAGACACCAATCAAACACATGCCAGTAATCAGTTTCTACCAAAAGACACTTAATACACAAAAACCAACATTCAGCCCTTACTGACACAAGTCACCAATTACACATATGACAGTAATCAGGTTCTACCAATAGACACTTAATACACATTCAGCCCCTACCGTAATGAGTCACTAATCAAACACAATTCAATTCAATTCAATATTTTATTTACATCTCACCTTATGTATAAAATTACACAATACATTTATAAAAGATACATTTTGTATACATAAGCTAATCTGTACAGATTTATGAGAGACGATAATCAACTAAAACAATATGTATGTACATAATAAATATTAAAAATGAATGATAAAATTATACAACATAAATATTCAATGACAGTAATCAGGTACTACCAAAAGACACTTTATTTCACTAAAACCAACATTCAGCCCCTACCGTAACAAGTCACTTATCAAACACATGACAGTAATCAGGTGCTACCATAAAGACACTTTATACACAAAAACCAACATTCAAACTCTACCGATAGGAGTCACCAATCAAACACATGACAGTCACCAAGTACTACCAACAACCAACAATATACCAAATACTAAAGAAACAAACATCAAACAGCATAAACTACAAATACGCTATTAACAGTTTATAGTAAAGACAATGAGAATGAACAGTGAAAAATTAAAGTTTAGAAGTCAACAATCAAGCAATGACAGGTTCTATGTATCACCAACAACCAACTGTTAACCAAACATTCAAGACAACAAACACAACGATCACTACAAATACAATGATACCATTCAACCACATACCAGCCATGAAGTATTTCAAACAACCAACCTCAAAAGTACAAGACGCAAAGGAAGTCACCAATCAAACACATGATGGTCACAAGTTAACCACCAACTTACCATGAACCAGACACTAGAGATACAAACATTGACAATCAAACACTACAGGATAAAAAATTTACATTAAACACCAGGCACAAAAGACACAAACAACAACAATCAAACACTTTAAACTTACTTTAAATAAAGCTAATACTAACAATGACCACTGCCCTTTCCTCGATCTTGATATCTATATCATTAATTGAAAGCTTAATACTAAAATATAAGATAAAAGAGATGATTTTTCATTTCCTATCGTTAATTATCCATTTTTAGATGGTGACGTTCCCTTGTCACCATCTTACGGTGTTTATATATCTCAACTTGTACGATTCGCTCGTGTATGTAACAATGTTTTAGATTTTAACGAGAGAAATTTATGTATTACTGAAAAATTATTACACCAGGGTTTTCGATATCACAAACTAGTCAAAACATTTACTAAATTTTATCATCGGTATAAGGACATCATTCGTAAATATAGCTCAACATGCAGACTTCTTATTTGTTCAGGTATTTCACATCCAATTTTTTATGGAAATATTCTTTATAAAGCACAAAAATGTCAGTATTCACCTCTGAAGCTAACAAAACCTTTAAATAGACTTATTAAGAAGGGATATAGTTACGATACTGTTGTCAGGTCATTAAAGATTGCATATTTTGGCGTTAATATTGATTCACTTATAGGGTCTTTGCATCGGCACTAAACACATTTATTTAAAAACCAGTTGTTGGCATGACACGGGTTATGTTCTTCTCATATATGTTATGATGGTATGATACTAAACCCCTAACGGGAAGGATTGTGCCTGATATTCATATGATAAAGACATAATCTTTCAATCAGTTTAATTGAAGTCTGGAGCTGGCATGTCAGTTAACTGCTAGTAGTCTGTTGTTATTTATGTATTATTGTCATTTTGTTTATTTTCTTTGGTTACATCTTCTGACATCAGACTCGGACTTCTCTTGAACTGAATTTTAATGTGCGTATTGTTATGCGTTTACTTTTCTACATTGGCTAGAGGTATAGGGGGAGGGTTGAGATCTCAAAAACATGTTTAACCCCGCCGCATTTTTGCGCCTGTCCCAAGTCAGGAGCCTCTAGCCTTTGTTAGTCTTGTATTATTTTTAATTTTATTTTCTTGTGTACAATTTGGAGTTTAGTATGGCGTTCATTATCACTGAACTAGTATATATATTTGTTTAGGGGCCAGCTGAAGGACGCCCAGGGTGCGGGAATTTCTCGCTGCATTGAAGACCTGTTGGTGACCTTCTGCTGTTGTCTGTTCTATGGTCGGGTTGTTGTCTCTTTGACACATTCCCCATTTCCATTCTCAATTTTACTGTAGAAAAAAAGTCTCACATCGAACTCATGATAGTCACCAGGTAATACAAACAACTTACCACCAAAACGACATTTAAGACAAACAAATAAGAGATAATAGGTCAATTAAACACATGACATTCACCCTGTACTTCAATGGGCTAACAACCAGCGAGAAACAAAACACATACACATTGACAATAACACACTAAAGATACAAAGTCACAAAGCAGTCATGATGTACTACTTACAACCAACAATAATTTAGACATTAAAGACACTAACATCGACGATTAAACAATACAGATGCAAGTCACCAATCATCCACATGGCAGTAATCAGGTACAACTTAAACACTTAATACACAAAAAAACAACATTCAGACCCTTCCGATACAAGTCACCAACCAAGCACATGACAGTCACTGATTACTACCAACCACACCATCACACTAGAATTACAAACAATACGTACACAAAGTCACAACCAAGCTCATGACAGTAGCCAGATGCTACCAACAACCAACCACAACCAAACATTTAGGACAAACATCTAAAATTAAAAAACGCAAAGTCGCTTAATCAAACACATGACAGTACTACGAACATCCACCAACCTCAATACACTACAAACAAAATCAATAACAATGAAACACTACACAATCATTGATTTATTAATACTGTTGTAGAATGTCACCATTGATACACATGGCAGCTGTCAGATACTACCAACAACCAATTACATGCTTATTAAGAAGACACAACCACAAAGAATTAACGCCTACAGCCGTGTTTACCAAGCATACTCATGATACTCATCTTCCAATTAGACACTAATCATAATCATGCAACCACCTTCATCATTCCCTAAAGTCAAAGTCACCAATTAAACACATGACCACCAGGCATTACAAGAATTAACTATCAATTAGACATAAATTATAAGGACATACCAACAAACCACAAGCCCCACAGACACAATCAATACCCAAACACTTGACACTTTTAAGGCACTACCATCAACCTTTTTTCATTTTTATTTTTTTTTACCGCTGATTCATGTGATATACAATATAAATATTTTACCTATATTTAATTAACATTGTCCAGTTGATTACACAAGTTTTGATGTCTGTTATATGTTGATATTACAGAGTGGAGCCACATCATTAATGTATGCTGCAGGGGGAGGACACCTGGTAATTGTCAGTTACCTGGTCAGCCTTGGATGTAATATAAATGCCAGATCCAAGGTAACGAACGATATATCTTCTGTCTGAATCTTCACCTGTTTATATTGAA